GGGGAGTAAACCAGCAAATGTAAGATCTTTCTGTCTCTCCCTCTCTCTGTAACTCTCCCTTTCAAATAAAAGATTTTTTTCTTCATAATAAATTTAACCTTAGCTTCCTTTGGAATTTTTACTCAATGAAGTTTGAAAAAAAATTAACTTTTAAAAAACATTTATTTTTTATTTGAAAAGCAGGTTTTTACAGAAACAGAGAAAGTAAAGCAGAAAATCTTCTGTCTACTGGTGCATTCCGCAAATGGCTGCAGTAGCCAGAGCAGAGCTATCTAAAGCCAGAATGCAGGAGCCTCCTCTGGATCTCCCACGTGCCTGCAGGGTCCTGAGAACTCTTCCCAGGCCATAAGCAGGAGCTGGATTGGAAGGCAAATAGCCTGGGCATGAACTGGTGTCCATTTTGGATGCAGATGGAACAGGGTGGGATTAGCCAGTGTGGGTTCTGGCCTCAAAATATTAATTTTTTCATTCTTTTTAAATGATACTTGCATATTGTATATCCATAAAAAATTCTTTTTTCTTTCTTTATGTCGTTATTATATAACCCTTTTTTAAAAAAGATTTTTTATTGGAAAGTCAGATATACAGAGAAAAGGAGATAACAGAGAGAAAAGATTTGCCATCAACTGGTTCACTCCCCAAGTGGCCACAATGGCCAGAGCTGAGCCAATGTGAAGCCAGGAGCCAGGAGCTTCTTCTAGTTCTCTCATGTGGGTGCAGGGTCCCAAGGCTTTGTGCCATCCTACACTGCTTTACCAGACCACAAGCAGGGAGCTTGATGGAAAGTGGAGCAGCCAGGATGTGAACCAGTTCCCATATGGAATCCCAGTGGATGCAAGGTGAAAATTTAGCCACTAGGTTATTGCACGAGACCCCTTTGTAACCTTTTCAAGATTTAAATTAGAAAACTCCCCCCCCCCCCACTTTATTGTGCATAACTTGTTTTGTCGAAAACAGAGAAGAAAATACGTGCAAAGCCTACGCAGGTTCAGAATAATCAGTACCGTGGTCTTCTGTCGCCTCTTCCTGTCCATTTTGTAATGTCTCTGGAGGCGACAGCATGTGTGATGCTGTCATCACCATGCCTTTTCTGCACACTACCTGCAGGACCTGCCCGAGATGTTTTACAGTACACTTTTTAAAAAGCATTTGTTTATTTAACTTGAAAGTCAGAGTTATGTGAAGAGAGAAGGGCAAAGAGAGAGGGAGAACTAAAGAGATCTTCCATCCACTGATTCACTTCCCACTTGGCCGCAGCAGTTGTAGCTGGGCTGATGTGATGCCAGGATCCAGGAGCTTGAAGCTTCTCCTGGGTCTGCCACATGTGTGCACGGGCCCACGGACGTGGAACGTCGTCTGCTGCTTTCCCAGGCCACAGAGAGCTAGATCAGAAGTGGAGCAGCTGGAACACAAACCAGCACTGATTTAATGCTGGTGCCACAGGGCAGAGGGTTAGCTTACTGCACCCTGGTGAAATCTGGTTTTTAAAATAATTTGTTGTATTTCTCTAAAGTGAACGAATTTCACATATTTCATAATACAATTTTAGGAGCATAGCAGGACTTCCTGCCATTTCTGCTGCCCACTTTCACCACCCACCACCTCCTTCCTTCCTTTTTTTTTTTTTTAAATTTTTGCAATGACTTACTTTCCTTTCACTTGAAAATTTGTATGGTTAGTGTGTTCTTGTGTTCTACTGACAGAATTTTCCGGACACCAAGTTTTTGGAAGAGATTGTCCAATGCTTGCTTTTAGGAGCTCTCTGGTTACATTTGAAGTAATTTTGAATATGATTTTTGTATATGAAACAGCAGGAACAGTATCTCTAAATCAAGTAAGATCTTTACTTGAATGTTTCATTTGTAAGCATTTCCCACAGTTTCCATTTTCCCCCCAAAGATTTATATTCATTTATGTGAAAGAGTGAAAGAGATGGAAAGACCAGAAGGGAGAGATCTTCCATCCATTGGTTGACTCCCCAAATGCCTACAACAGCTGGGACTGGGCCAAATTGTAGCCAGGAGCTTGGAACTTCATCTGTGTCTCCCACTTTGTTTAAATATTTAAGTTATAAAATATTTCAATAAATATTCGGATGAATCATCATCTTTTGCCTTCGCAGGGACATTATTAGCAGCATTGTTGTTCAGAAGTAGAATAGCCTGGACTTGAATGAAGCACTCAGGTATTGGTTTATGTCCCAAGTAATATCTTAACCTGTTAGTGTGTGGCACCTGCTCCCATTTCACAGCATCTGAATTTTTAAATTTATATGCTATAAGAAAGGCAGAGAAGTATCTTCCATCCAATGATTCTCTTCTGTAGCACCTGCAACAGCCGTGGCTGGGTCAGGTGGAGACCAGTAACCTGGAACTTCATCCAGGTCTCTCCTGTGGGTGGCAGGAAATGCTGTCACCTGCTGCTTTCCCAGGCACAAATCAGAAGTGGTGCAGCTGCAGCTGAAACCAGCATTTTGATGGAAGATGCTGGTATTGCTTATGGCCGCTCAAGTTGCTACACTACCGTGCCAGCCTGCCTAGAAGTTTTCTATTATGCACTTTTTCATCTGCGCTTCCATTATATCTTGAACTTAAGTTTAACTTAGGAAATACTATTATTTTCTTTGAACTTTATGCCTGTCTGTTTACAGTAATGATACAGTTTATTTGGCAAATAGAAAACATTCAGTGAAAAGTGAAAAACTTAGGTGCAGATTATTTCAGTAACATTTGTTTTTGTGTTCCATGTAGAATGTTTGGCTTTAGAATGATCTGAAAAATTACTTATATAGAGAACACTGATGTTTTGGGGGGAATGTTATGGACTTAGATAATATGAGGGGACATCAAAATATTTGTGAAGATATTGGTTTTGTGGTACAACATGCTATGCTTTTCCTGCAATGCCTGTATCTCAGAGTGCTCGTGCAAGTCCTAGCTGCTTCATTTCCAGTTTAGTTTCTTGTTAATGCATCTGGGAAAGCAGTGGAGGATGGCACTGGTACCTTGGGCCTCTGCCAGCATAGGGGAGACCACATGGTGTTTCAGGTTCCTGGCTTCAAGCTGAGGCAGTCCAGCTGTTATAGGTATTTGGGGAATAAAACCAGCAGACAAAACATATCTCCCCCTCTTTGTCAATCTGCCCTTCGAGTAATAAAATCAGCATTTAAAAAAATTGTGGCAGAGTAGAATTAAAAGATAATTTGGGGATTGGATTTTTGGCCTGGTGATTGAGATGGCTGTCTCCTGTATTGAGGTATGTGGATCTGATTCCTAGTTCTGTTCCTGATTTAGCTTCTGCTGTTGTGGAAGCAGCAGTGATGGCTCTAGGAATCGGGTTTGTAACGCCCGCAGGGGAAATAGATGTGGATGGAGTTCCTGGCTCCCGGTTTCAGCTCTGGCCCAGCCACAACTCTTGCAGACATTTGGAGAATGAACCAAATGTGAATGGGAGCTTGCTCTTTCTGTTTACCTCTTAAACAAGCAAATAAACCACTTGCAATGGGATTAGTTCATTGGGTTCAGAAAAACAAATGTATGCCTGATTTTTTTTTGTAATACACATTTTCTATGAACTCTTTCAAGACCTTACATATATGGGAAGCATAATATTTTAGTAGAATAAAATGTCATCAATTCTTATTTATAAATAAAAATGCTATGGCAGTTCAAGCTCAGCTTGACTATATGATAAGTTTCTATATTTTTAGCAGTATTTGGGAAATTTTATTTAATTGTGGCTCTGAAAAGATATTCACATTTCTCTAAATCAGGACATAATTTATTTGGTTTTCATTATGTTATTTAATGTGACCTGTCTGGAATTTGGTAGTTTTTTAAAAAATATGGAATTAAATTTTTATTTCAATTCAATAAATAGTTAATATAATCCTGCACTGAGCTAAATGTACTAAGGAATATAAAGATAAATAGGTTACAAATGAGTAGGCTGCCAACGGGTAGTTCTGTGATTTGCGAAAGAGCCTTTGGTTCATCTGTTTCTTTTCTTAGTTTTTAAATTTAATAAATCCATGTTGGGAGTATTTGGTTGTACCTTAATCACGTGACTTTTTCTGAAGGAGTTACCGGAAATGCGTAGTAGCCATGTTTAGGACACATGACAAAGGATTTAGTGCGGTCACGGAAGGAGTCTTTCCAGTTATCTTAACCATCTATGTGCTGATAAGCATAAGGCCTAAAACAAGATTGCAAGCAAAAAAAGATCCCGGATGAGTGAGACAAGCCCAGTGGAGGGAGTGGAAGCTATAGGGATTATACAGGCCAAAGTCCATCCTCATCGGAAGGAAGATTCCTACTCAGCCATCTCCTAGTTTTACTGTGGGCCTTCTTTCTTTTTTTCTTTTTTTTCATTTTTCAGCAGAATATGGACTTATAAATAAAATGTAGATGTAGATTAACAAATACATGTAATCATTCAATTTTAATATTAGTAGCAGTGCTATTTTTTTTCACCCAAACACTGCATTGGCCAAACAAAATATTTGGGCACATTAGTTACATTACACATGTATGAATCCAAGGAAGAAAGAAAAGAGGTGTGTTAAAGTTCTGTATCTCTTTCTTTTTGAGCCCTGAACACAAAATTAACATGATAAGATGAGTAATTCTATAGAATTTGTTGTTCCTCTTCTAAGTATGTATTCTCTTTTTTCTGAAACCCACTGCTTTTTTTTTTTGAAACAAATATTTCCCAATTTGATATTTTAATGAGGTTGAATAAAAAATGTTGCTAGGGCTGACAACACTAAGATAGTCGACATAATTTGCTATTTGAAACACAGCAACTACTATATATATAGATGAAAAATACCATAGCTCTTTCATTGATACCAACCAAAAATGATCAAAATTAGGCATTTTACAAAAGCCATATTTGAAAACAGTGGCTTAATTGTGGTGCTAACACTGTAAATGTCATCACTGCTTCTTCTAGGATCACTGTGAGGTGAGACCCTGAATCCTTTCTAACTGTATTTTTAGGTTGTTAGAAACAGACAGTAAGTCTTTAAGATCTGTAAATGGGTCAAGAAGAAACAGTGGCTCCTCTCTTGTGTCCAGTTCATCAGCCTCTAGCAACCTCAGCCACCTTGAGGAAGACTCTTGGATTCTTTGGGGAAGAATTGTTAATGAGTGGGAAGATGTGCGCAAAAAGAAGGAAAAGCAGGTTAAGGTATGTGCGTTTTTATTTATTTGATTTCTGCAAATCATTTGTGACAGGGTTTATGTAATAATAGAAATATATAGCTAAAATTACTAAATTTTGACATTTAAAATTTTTTAAAAATTTTATTTTTAATATTGCTTATACGTAGTTGAGAGGGATGCATGCACGTGTGGACCTCTGCTTAGTGTGGGTCGGGTAAGGCATGGAGGAAGGTGGGTGGGACAAATGTTTCAGGTTTTTTTCCCTCCTGTGCCCACAGGGAAAGAGGAGAGGGGGCCTATCCTTGCTGTCAAACTGTATTAGTATCCAGGAATGGGAGACAGTTCTTTGATGACACCTTAAGAGACCCTGATGTGGGAAAGAATGTTCTGAGGGTATTACTTGAGTGATTTTTGTAGTTCTGAGACATCATTGGCTTCATTGCACCAGGATTGAGAAAATCTTCCTAAGGTCTGTTGGCTGCAAAGTCCACCTTAGCGCATCCGTAGACCCAAGAACATTCTGCAGAAGCTTGGCCAGGAGAGTTGTCCAACCTGCTGTGCTTTTTTTCTGATGAGCTACTCAGTATCCCCTTTTGGAGCAGGAAGTGCAGCCCGACAGAGGAGTCCCCAGTCTTCCTCTTCCAGGCCCATTTCTAGCCCTAGGTCTTATGTGTTCTGGCAGTGCTTCAGCCCAGTTCTGCATGGCCTGCCTGCAGTCTCAGCTCTCGCTCATACATGTTGCAGCCCAGCCTAGCTATGCTTGGTCCACACCTTGTCCTGGTTTTCTGTATGCCAACAGGAGCTCAGGTCTGGCTGGCCCATCCTGGCCTGTCTTCAGACTCAGCTCACACAAATGATGGTGAGTGCTACAGCAGCCCTGCCCGCTTGGGCTGGCTCCAGCCCTACTGTAGCCCCTGGCACTGGTTGGCATGGTCTGCCCTCAGTTCCAGCACTTAAATGCACCAATGGGTACTGTAGCTTGGTCCTACCCGGTCTTCTCTCAGCTGCAGCCCCTGTAAGTATCAGATGGGTTCCTGTCAGGTCAGTTCCGTGGTCCAGCCTGGCTCAGCCCATCACTTCCCCCAGCTGTATGTGAACCAGCAGGTGCTGCAGTCTCACAGAGGTGAGCCCACAGTTCTCCAACAGAATCTGTCCCTTGATCTGTATTTGTGTTCTCATGGGTGCTGCAGCCCAGCATGACATGGCCCACTTCCTGCTCCAGGACACAGGTGGGTACTGTGGCCAGCCCAGCCAAGCATGCCTTCCAGCCCCAGCTTTTGTGTCAGTTGGTGGCAGGTGATGCTTTTTAGCCTAACCCAGGTATTTTACCTGGGTGGATGCCTTGCCTGACCCAGACCTGCCTTCAGGTTTCTTCCCCTCTAAACCATTCCACCTCAGCTCCCTTTCCTGTCTGCGAGTGCAGTGGCCTGTTCCATGGAGGACCCCAGACGTCATTTTTCCCCTGTCAAACATGTCCTCCAATATGGCCCCAAATCCCTTTCCCTGGGCAGTCTGCCTCCCCCGGAACTCCCTGGCCTAGGGAGTCAGAGTGGCATTTCCTGTCCAGAGCAACTATGCTGGCATACTGGTATAGTTAACACAAAGTTAGCACTAACAAGCCCAGAATGCCTGCAACTCATTGGCTTCTTTTCTTCAGCAGTGTAACGCTTGTTTAGGTACAAGACAACTTAGACAGTTGCCTACAGCTGGGGTAAATTCTGTCATTTTATAGTCAGAAATTAAGTTGTGATATCATATATATTTAAATTATTGATATTTTACCTTTCTTGCCTTCCTTAAGTTCTTTAAAGTGTCTTGTGCCATTATTCACATCTCCATGGGTTTTATTTTTCTTTTTGTAAAAATAGAGTTATTTTAAATTTATTTGAAAGAGTTACAGAAAGGGGAAAGAGACAGAGAAAGAAATCTACCTGCTGGTTTTCTCCAAATGGCCAGAATGGCCAGGGCTGTGCCAGGCTGAAGTCAGCAGCATGGAGTTTCTTCCTGGTTTCCCACATGGGTGCGCAGGGGCCTAAGTATTTGGACCATCTTTTGGTACTTTTCGTGGGTGTAATAGCAGGGAGCTAGATCGGAAGTGGAGCAGCAGATTCTTGGACTGGTGCCCGTATGAGATGTTGCAAGCGCCAGCCTAACATGCTACCCCATAACACGGGCCCTGCTACAGGTTTTCAAGTCCCTGTGTTCAGAGGCATGTTCTGACAAAGTTTATTCATGAAATGGTTCTCCTCACCCCCACCCCTGGATGCACATATACAGGATACACCTGAAACACAATCCTATCTTAGCCTGGCTTGGAGTGTTTCCCAGTTTTAAGTAGAAAAACTATTAAACTAATTTTCTGAGTGGTAAATTTGACAGTCTTCCTTTCCATCCTAAACTCTGGGAAATCTGTGACTTCCAAATTTCTAAAAATTTGTTGTATTTTTTCCTTTTAGGAACTTGTTCGTAAAGGAATACCCCACCACTTTAGAGCAATAGTTTGGCAACTTTTATGCAGTGCACAAAGCATGCCAATTAAGGATCAGTATTCAGAACTCCTGAAAATGACCTCACCTTGTGAAAAATTGATCCGAAGGGATATTGCTAGAACTTATCCTGAACACAATTTTTTCAAGGAAAAAGATAGCCTTGGACAGGAGGTTTTGTTTAATGTAATGAAGGTGAGTTCTGTTCGTTTGTTTTTAAAATAATGAAATGAATTCTGATAAGGTTGAAGTGATGTATTTCCTGTGATGATATGTGAAGTCCCATGATTGTAATTAAGTAAAATTGAGTTAAGCATCATTTCTGCTTTACTTTTAATGCTCTGCTACTGTCTGTTTTGAAGAGCTTGGAAATGTATCAGATTCTTCAGCATTTGTTGTTGGAAATGTAAGAATGTATGAGACTTGTGCATAGGAAGCTCCTCCATGAACATGTAATTTATCCTCTGAAAGTTTCTCCTGTCATGACTGCATTCATTTAATTGGCAGTTTTTTTTTCTGCCTACTTTGCTAAGAGTCGAAGCTGGCACAATAGCTCACCTGACTAATCCTCTCCCTGCAAGTGCCAGCATCCCATTTGGACATTGATTTTTGTCACAGCTACTCCACTTCCCATCCAGCTCCCTGCTTGTGGCCTGGGAAAGCAGTTGAGGACGGCCCAAGGCCTTGGCACCCTGCACCTGTGGGGGAGACCCGGAAGAGGCTCCTGACTTCAGATCGGCACAGCTCCGAGAGGCCGTTGCTGTGGATGGGCAATTCTCACTCTCTCTTCTGACTGTCTGCCTTTCAAATAAAATGGGGAAAAAGATGTCTAAGCTTTGAAAAGGAGTACTGTTGTAAATTTTTTCTAAAGTTGGCTTCAATTTTCCTAGTGCTTTACCATAGTCAAGTTTTATCTGTATCAGATACGCAGTTTATTTGGTTTTAAAACTCTATTACCAGTTGGAGTACAAATTCCTTTATTTCTTTCTATTTCACCCTCAAGAACTGCTAATTTATAATTGGAAAATTTTATGTGTTAAAATGTGCTTTTCAGTTATTTCTAGGACAGTTTCTGTAACAAGCAATTTTTTTCTAAATAAATGATCTTTTATCTGTTTTTAACAACTGCAGGTTTTTGGAGGAGGAAGTATAATATATCATGTTGAAATATTTTGAACAACAGATTTCATTTATTTATTTTGCCTTTTAGGCATATTCTTTGGTGGATCGTGAAGTCGGTTACTGTCAAGGAAGTGCTTTTATAGTTGGGCTGTTGCTTATGCAAGTAAGTAAAGTTGAATGTCCAAGGTCTTTTTCAAAGTTGTATTGGAAAGTTTGCAAATTATTTGTCTTCATGGAATATAATTGAATATTTAGTATTTTTCTATAGGTATAATTTGAATCCTAATATTTAGTTTGCATTTAAAGTGTTAATGCAGTGGTATCTTACCACTGAACAAAATTTTAACTTCTTAACATTTGTACCACAGTGTTCAACAAAAGACTGTATCTGCTTTTAAAACTTGTCAACACTAAATAATGAGTAATCGTCTCACCCCAGCTGACCATGATACAATTGTTGATATGAAAATTTTTTTTTGTTTTGTTTTATGACATTTAAAAAACTATCTGCAAGAATTTGATTTATCACTTTATTATGCATATCTTGTGATATGCTTGAAATAGTGATACTACAGCCACTGTTACTGCCAGGGATATAAATATCATTGACCATGGCTTATTTTTGAGTGGGTTTCAAAATTCATGGGGAGGAACTTTGAAAGGAAGTGTTATATGATGTTACCTCATTAGTCTCATTAAAAATTTTTTAGAAGTTCTACTTTATTTACTCTTTATCAAGTCTTAGAATTTTTGTTCTGAAAGAAATTTGGGAGACAGTTTGATTTGAGTCATACAGGCTTGGCTTTATATCTTGGTTCTGCACTTGCTCTGTGAATTTGGGCTAGATAGCTTCCCTTAGATAGTATGATTTACTTTCAGATTTATTTTGAGTGTTACATGGGGTAGCTAGAAGCCTGGCATGATGTTTGGCACACAGTGAATTCATGATCAAAGTTCACTTGCTTGCCTAAGATCACATGCCTTTGTGGATAAAAGCAGAGCAGGTTTCAGAAAATTATATTTCCAAATGTTTTACTTCAGTTCCTCTACTATTCTACTTGACTTTGAAAACTCGTAACTTTCAGGAATACATGCATTTCTTTTCTGAGTAGCGTAAGCTTGATGTCAAGGATAACCAGTTTATGATAAAACGGGCCACTTTTACTTTATAAGAGTTGTTTTCCATGGTTATTGCAGGGCATTTTTCCATTTCTGAGTGAACTTAGGTTATGAATAACACAGTTTAAAAATAGATTTGTTAATATTAATTCCACAACGTGGAAAATGTGGCAGAACCAGATTCAGTATTTGCAAGTCATGGGTTCTTATCAGCTCAGTGTTACTGAAAATGTGTGTAGTAGCATTATGCTTGGCGACTGAAGTGGCCTGAATTCTGTATAATGAACATCATTGTGAAACAATTGATTGTTCAACCCGTTTGTGGATATCACTTGGTTGACTGCTTTTCAGTTTGTCATCATTGCTTCTGTAGTTTTAGAAGGACCCAGTGATAATATTTTTTCTGTTTCCTTTGGCCCTTTTATCAAATACTCCAGCTTGTGTTTTAAATATTACCATTTAACAAAAAAATTAGCAAAACCTCTTAAGAGAAGAGGGACTAAAATTTATTTGTTTGTTTGGGGGGCAGTTACATCCAGAGAAGAAGGTAACACTTAGAAAAAACAAGGGAATTAATTGGTTCATTTCTGCTGTGATGGGACTGAGGACCTGGGAAGAGGGAATGGGAAGGTACTGGTGAGAGGTGACCTTGCTGAGGTAGTGGAATGTAGCACCTTGTAGGGATTTTGGCTTTTATTTGTTTGTTTGTTTGTTTGTTTTAAGATATGAGAAGGCAATAGGATATTTTGAGCATTGGAATAAAGTGATCCATCATGGTTGAGAAACTTTTCTACCAAAAGCCATTTGGGGATTTGCCACATCATTCATGAGCTGTACAGAATTATCAACTTTAAAATTACTCTGTTACAGGCTTATTGCATTTTAAATACTGCCTGTGGTTGTTCTGGCATGGCCAGACCAAATGTTTTTACAGGTCTTATACGGTGGGCCAGACATTCCCCCCATTACTATGCATGATGCTTTGGAAGGATTTCTTGGTAGCTTTCTGCTGCACAGGGAGTGGGGTACAGAAGGACGTACAGGGAAGCAGCAGAGCCACCAGGAAGGAAGTCCAGAAAATAGACTAGTGTCTTTGTGGTGGTTTGGACTAGGGGTCTGATAAGAAGTGGTTGAATTCTTGAAATACTGTCAATAGCCCACAGAATTTGCTGCTGGAATGGATTTAGAATAAGAGGAAAAGGAATCAGTGACAGCTCTTCAACGATGACTCATTTTGAGCAGTTTCAGATGATGGGATAATGATAGGATGGAAATTTAGGAGTGTGGCTGTTATTGATATCTTTTGGCTATCCAAATGGAGATATCAAGTGGGCAGTTGGGAGTGTGAAGCAGGAACTGGGCAAATGTTCAGAGCTTTAGATAGAAGAGATACTAGAGACTGTAAAAATGGTTACAGGTGCAGGTAGGTAGTAGATGTGGTGGTATAAGTATAGGGAAATTCTCTTGTGTTGCTGCTACTTTTTAAGAATTTGAAATAGTCAACAAGATCATTAGCTTAAACCTAGCAAAGAGGTGTTGGAAGATTGATGATCCAGAAAAATTCTGGCATGTTTATTTCAGTGAGAGTGTTTCAGTTAGGATAAAGAAGTCAAAGAGGCAGCCCTGAAGACCTACTGAAATTAGTAGCACTAAATTCAGAGTGAGAACAGCCAGGGTGGTTAGTTTTTTTTTTGTGCTTTTGTTTTGTTTTCCGGTTGACTTAATATAGGTGTGGACTTGGATTTATACAAGGGTGGAGCTTTGCCAGCTGGAATTAGGGAGAAAGACCCAAGTAATTATGGATTTAAGCAAATGAATAAATATAACAGGATAAGCACCAAAATGAGCATGGGAGTGTTGAAGGAAAAAACAGTCGTGTAGGCTTGGCAGAGTTTAAGTGGATTTCAGACCTGGCAAGATTAGACAACCATAAATAACTTCATTGCAGCACTGTGAAGTAGGTACTATTGTTTTACCTGGTTAATAGGTGGTGAAGGGGAGCAACAGACAAGTTAAATAATTTGTTAAAAGGTCACATATTTACTAAGTAAAGAAACCAGGATTTCAGGTTTTGATGTGATTCTATAGATCCTGAGCTCTGTAGTAACTGCCTGTTAGGCTCTTGGAGGAAAGGAGGTGAAAGATAGCTGCCAGGCCAGTGTGACTTGAGTGCTTGTGGATGCTGCCAAAACGAGAAGTAAATGAGGAATGTCTGCTGGTATGCATTTCAAGGGGAGATTGGTGCTGTGGAAGTGAGTCTGAGGTTCGAGGAGAGCCATATGCCCACCCTGGTGGTACTATGGGAGGAAATACAGGCACCTTAAGGGAGAGCCAGATTTCAGCAAAAGGAAGAGAAAGGAAATTACAATACAGGTATAGACTGGGAATAGGGTCAAAAGAGGGGGAATAATAAAGTTGAGAGTTCTGGCACCTTGGGATTTTTGCAGTGATTGGCCTGTGTCCGTTGGAGGGCTGTAAGGTTTGATAAGATGCAAAGAAATGATCTCTAAGCAGAAGTGTGACCATGTGTGTTGGGAAGAGGAAGTACAGGTTTTGTCAGATATCTGACTCCCACTCATGGCAGTCTCAGGGCCAGGGGAAGTGCATTGTTTACTAGCAAGTCTTCAGTCCGAAGAACTAGATGTTCAGTTGGGAGTGTTCTCTTTGAAACACACTGGTTTAATGGGAGTGCCAATTAACAAACCTTGTTGTTTTGAGAAAACTGGCTTAACTTTGGATTATGTTTTTTGCCTAAATATTCTGAATGACTTTGCAGCTCTTCAGAGATATTTTACATTCATTCTCTATTTGATATAAGTTTCTGGTGATTTATGTATGTGTATATGTGTGTGGTGTATATGTAAAATATATCATTAGTACATTTAATTCCCAAATGACAAATACTTTGAAAACTTATTTTGTAAGTTGTTTTTTTTTTTTTAAACATTTATCCTTATCATGTATTAACACTTCCACTCAGAACTCTCAGAAATGCTTCGCATCAGTTAAGGTCCAAGTAAACTTCCTCACAGTGGGCTCTAGAGCCCAGTTCTTTCGCTTCCCTGTTGTTTGTCCTCCATAGCCTCATCTCCCCGCATAACATCACTGACATTGTCAGCAGTTCCCTGCTCACTGTTCCTTGAGTGTGTCAGCTATGATTCTGTGTTGGAGCTTTTGACTTTTCTGTCCTCTGGGAAAGTTCTTTCCTCAGAGAGGAAATGCTGAGCTTCAAGATTTTGCTGAGGTGTTTCCCTGTCACTTCCCTGAATGCCAGTATGTCTCCCCAGCATTCATTCTCTGTCACATTACTTTAATTTCATAGCACTCGTTCCCATCTGACTTGTCTGATATATTCCATGTGTTGTCTAGGTTGTCCCCCTACTAGGAAGTTCAGGCTCCTCAAGATTGGAGGTCATGGTTATCTTATTCAGTGGTTTATACTCAGAAAAAATACCTGGCTCAACATACTGTATGTTGGTAGGATTAATGATTAGGCAAGTTGAGGCAGTCACAGAGAGATATAAAGTTGGCCCAACTTCTCACTCTTGCTCAAAGAATGGGAGACTGGACTCTTGCTTGTTAGTCTGTGGCTCCTAACATTTCATCACAAAGCCGCTCACAGCAGTGTGTATGGTTGGATGGGTACTTGATTTAAGTATAGTTTAACTTATTTGTATGCCACAATATATTAATCTATGTCACTTTTATTCTCCTACCTATTGCAGATGCCAGAAGAAGAAGCTTTCTGTGTATTTTTTAAGTTAATGCAAGACTATAGACTTCGTGAACTTTTTAAACCAAGTATGGCAGAGTTGGGCCTTTGTATGTACCAATTTGAATGCATGATACAGGTAAAAGTAAAGTTTGACAAACTGGCATATTGCATTTCTATTTTTTTGGTCTAGTCTGAGTGATAGCCAAGAAAATTGAGTGTTAAAAAACCTTATAAAAGTTGAAAGAAATATTTCAATGTTTTAATTCTGTGTCATTTGTAGGCTAGTTAATATGTAAGTAGAGCACTACTTCCAAAGGAGGACCTGTCTACAAATAGATCAGCCTGCGTCTTGACTGTAGTTTCTGTATTCTGACTGTAAGCATTTGTTTCAAAGGTGCTATGATTTCATGCCTTTGTTGAGACCCATCATATAGTATAATTGGAAAAGTGTTCCGAGTTCTCCTGTAGGATGCTTGGGACACGGTGACACTGATGTCACTTCCTTTGCTTTGAAAGTGTACTGTCTCTCTCAGTCCTCACCCCTGCGTCTCGCGTCTCTTTTTTATCTGTGTTCCTTTTTTTTTTTTTTAAAATAACCTGTGATCTTTTTTTAAAAATAATATTTCCATCATTTTATGTTGCTAGTTTGTAAATATAGGTAACCATTTTGCCACCTATATGTAGCAATTTTTAATTATGATTTACTTGTTTCAGTTACATCACAGAATTTAAGAATAACTTACTTCAGAGATGGAATTTTAAAATGCATCTTAATTTAGCTGGTGTGAGAGTCATTTAAGAACCTGTTGGCATGGCAGCCTTACCCTTAGAAAGCTTTTGTGTGGTGAGAAGAACAAATTGAAAAGTTCTGTATTTCAAAGAAAAAGTCAAAATAGTCCTTGAGATGATTCTTACTTTTTTTTCTGAAATAGGAAATTCATTTTGTGTCAATCATATACTCTATTGGTGTTGGGGGTTTAGGTTATCGCTTCTCGGCTGTTTGGTTAAGATCAAGTGTAGAGTTTTAGAAAATGTGTTGTTCATATTTTGAAGTCCTAGTATTGCTGAAGCATCTTATTTTAGATATTTTTTTGATTCATTAGGAAGGTAAGGATACACGATTGGTTATAGACCAATTATGAACACGGCACGACATGGCCACCTAAAACATTATTCGAGGATGGAGACTTTTTTTTTAATATAATCTGGTGTTAATTTACCAAATTTTAATAAATGTGATAGACATATCTAAAGCTTCAACTCCACATCCTGTTTCCCCTTTCTTCTTCCTGGAACCAGCAATGGATGTTAGCTTTCTTCTATCTTAGTTTTCTGCATGGGGCTTCATCCTACCTGTTTGTTTTGAATGGGCCAGCCTAGTGTTTATACAGTGGTTTGATTTAAACTACTTAATTTTGTTAGGTTTTAGCTAATTGTTTCCTTCTCTTTAGGAGCATCTTCCAGAACTCTTCGTACATTTTCAATCTCAGAGCTTTCATACCTCAATGTATGCGTCATCCTGGTTTCTGACCATCTTTCTTACCACTTTTCCGTTACCAGTTGCAACAAGGATATTTGATATCTTTATGTCTGAGGTAAGCTAATGAAGAGGCTTGGATTAGGAGTTTAGCAGTGGGTCATTGAACTGTGTCAGGCTAAACTGCTTGCATGGACCATCATTTAAAGTTTATAACACCCCTCCTCTCTCAGGTATAAGCTGTCATCCTTATTTACTGGATGACATATAAGGAAGCTGAGGCATAAAGAAAGGATGGTTAGGGCCCGGTGCAGTAGCCTAGCAGCTAGAGTCCTCGCCTTGCACGCACCAGGATCCCATATGGGTGCTGGTTCTAATCCTGGCAGCCCCACTTCCCATCCAGCTCCCTGCCTGTGGCCTGGGAAGGCAGTCAAGGACATCCCAAAGCCTTGGGACCCTGCACCCACATGGGAGACCCAGAAGAGGCTCTGGGCTCCTGGCTTTGGATCAGCTTGACTCTGGCTGTTACAACCACTTGGGGAGTGATTCATCAGATGGAAGGTCTTCTTATCTCTCCTCTTCTCTGTATTTCTGACTCTCTCCACAACCCCCAAAAAATCTTAAAAAAAGAAAAAGGACAGTTATCTTGTCTGTATATACAGAGCCCATAAGTGACAAGATTTCAGATGAAGACAGTAAAATTCTGGAGCCCATATATGTATATATATTTTTAAGATTCATTATAAAGAAAGAAAGAAATCTACCATCACTGATTAGCTTCTCAAACAACCGCAATAGCTGGGGCTTGACCAGGCTGAACCTGGGAGTCAAGAACTCCATTTGGATCTCCCACGTGTGTGGCAGGGGCTCAGATATTTACACACTTCCACTGCTTTATTTTTTTCTTTCTTTTTTTAAATCTTTTTTTTTTTTAAGATTTATTTATTTTTATTAGAAAGTCAGATATACAGAGAGGAGGAGAGACAGAGAGGAAGATCTTCCAACTGTTGATTCATTCCCCAAGAGGCTGGAATGGCTGGAGCAGAGCCAATCCAAAGCCAGGAGCCAGGAGTTTCTTCCAGGTCTCCCACACAGGTGCAGGGTCCCAAGGCTTTGGGCCGTCCTTGACTGCTTTCCCAGGCCACGAGCAGGGAATTGGATCGGAAGTGGAGCTGCCGGGATTAGAACAAGCGCCCATAGGGGATCCCGGTGCATGCAAGGTGAGGACTTTAGACTCTAGGCTGCCACGCTGGGGCTTTCCACTGCTTTCTAAGGTGCCTCAGCAGGAATTAGAAGTGGAGCAGCTGAAATTCAACATTGTGCTTATATGAGAAGCCCATGTCACAGGTTGTAAGCTATGCCATTGTGCCAGCCCCTGGAGCCCACACTGGTAATCAGACTTCTTTATTACCTGCTGGATCATAAAATGAGATAGTGAGAGAGAAAATTTGTTGATATCTGTTGTCCAAACAGTAAGAAGTATAATGAATTTTTTTTCATAGCATGAGCACATTTCACATTGTCATTTTGTCAGTGACATGTCAGAGTGATCCTTTGGCTTCTATTTCCTGAACCTAGTGTTAATTGTTATTCATTATGTCCTAAGAAGATAACTTTGAATTACTGAAATAACAATTTTAGATTGGACTTGGCAAACTGTGATTCATTTTCTGATCTTTCCTGGTGTTCGTGCCAAATCTGTCCTTTCACCCAATTTTGTGAATAAAATTCTTGAACCACATTCCCTGCCAACTTGTTTGTATCTTATGTGTGTCTGTTCTTGGCCAAGCTGACTAGTGAGGAAAGAGGCCAGAGGACCCCCAAGCCTAAAATACTTGCCATCTGGCTCTTTACTGGAAATGTTTGCCGTTCCATGGTTTAGGATCCAGAGTGTTGACATTAGATAATGCTTTTGAGTGATTAGTTTGGATATGACTTTTATTTGTTTCCTCAGGGTTTAGAAATAGTCTTTCGAGTAGGATTAGCGCTTCTTCAAATGAATCAGGCAGAACTAATGCAGCTTGACATGGAGGGTATGTTACAGGTAAGTCAGCCCATGATTTCCTCAATGTCTTTAGATCTTGCTACAAATTAGTAAATAATAAATGACACTAACTTGTTCCTGTGTTTTTCTTTTATTGCGTCTTAGCATTTTCAGAAGGTCATTCCACATCAGTTTGATGGTGGTCCAGACAAACTAATCCAAGCAGCTTATCAAGTCAAATACAACTCAAAAAAAATGAAAAAGTAAGGATTTGATGTTTTCATATTTAGTGATGGAGTTTGTTGAAGCATATGGACAGTTCAATTTAAAGAACCATTCTGGTGATAAATATTTTTTCTTCCATAGATGGAACTATTACATTATCTTGTGATGTGGTTTCAGTATAACATGAAGTTAATGTTGGAATATCGTACTAGTGTTAATAATGGTACGTAGGACTACTATGTACCCCATTAAAAACTGCCCGTTCACCTTCCACACAACTGGAGTAAGGAGTCTGGTGTGGGCATAGGTGCAGTTATTTTAAGAGCTACTTTTATGGAGTAGTGCTGTTCATTGCCTGTTCATTGCTCTCATTACCTTGAGAGCATTGTGTAGCTTCAACACAGGATTAATGTAACCAGTAAGGCAATGAATATGGATGGAGAAGTTAAAATTTTGTTTATTGTGTATTATTTTCCTCTGAAGCTTTTCTTAGTATGTGTTTTTATGAAATTCAAGATAAGCAGTCTTGGTTCATGAGCTTTATTTAAAGAAAAAAGGTAAATGTATTAATGAAATTTGATAGGTATTACTTTTTGAGCATTTAGTATTTCATAGTTCCTTGCCTTCTTGTGGGTTGCCCCTGGATAGGCTTGATCTAGGATCATGTCTCTGCATGAGAAGTGATTCAAGGAAGAGATAACAGATAAAGGTGAGCAGGAAGGCAAGATTTAATCACATGCAAAGCAAAAGAGCACACAGAGGGAAGGAAAAGGGCAGACCGGGAGAGAGAGAAATAAGCAGTAAAGTTCAGAGTTATCCTAATACCATCTGGAGGCCTACAGGCTGGTTCTGTTACAGCAGGCAGGTGCTAACAATTCTTGTTTTATGATTAAAAGGAATTTTTCACACAGACACAAGAGTGACAGAAGTGAAGGCTTTGTTGATAGCAGGGAACTTGCTGCTGCAGCAGGTGGGAGGAGGCCTCCAAAGTAGGGCAGTAAGGACCATGGGAATATTCACTTTTGATTTGCCTGTGTAGGTGGGGGTTAATAGCCGCTCAGGGAAACAGGAATACAAATTGGTGCCACTCAATAGATAGAAATAACAACTGATCCAGAGACCCAGGGTAGAAATTACTACCCTTTCAGCCAGCTGTGAGTCTCATTGCTTATCCCTGGGGTCAAGCAAGCATAAATGGGATAACTAGGAAACACCCAGGTTTTGTGGTGAAGCTCTGTGTGTATAGAGGCTGACCTCAGGAAGAAAGCAGCATTTTTTCCCCTTTTGACGGCACCTGGTCTTCCATTCTAACAGGAACCTTACTTAACTACCTGTTAACTCATCTAACTCTTCATAGTTATAGAATAGGCCTAATCAAATATTCCAAAGGGTTAGGGTTTGAGGCAGGGCTTGAACACCCACCGGCCATTTCCTTGTTCTTTTTCTGCTATTTTGCAAGGATCACAGTGTCAGATGCATCCAGGGAATTGTACTGTTGGCCATGGTTCATACTTAAATATTGTTCTAGGGACACAGCCTGAAAACCATGTTGGATATTTTTAGTAGCACTGGTTCTGTCTTGCAAATTGTGGAACCAGTGGTCTTCTACAATATACGAGGGGAGGAAAGATAGTGCTGGGGATTTGGGTGGTTTGAACAGTACAGGCCAGGGTTGCCCTGCTGGCCCACTGTCTGGGAAACCACAACTCCTCCTGCTAATATACCTCTTTGCCTATTTCAGTTTGAGGTCATTGTTAGCATTTTTGATAACAGAGTTTCAGTACTTAAAAAACGCCTTAATTGATAGTATCTTTTCTTCTGCAACATGAAATTATATTGACAAGGACAGTATACTGCCATGTATATTCTTACTCAAAAATGCAGAATAGGAGTTGGGGCCAGCATTGTGGTGCAGTGGATCAGGCCATCACGTGCAACTCTGACAACCCAGGTGAATGCTGGTTGGAGTCCTAGTATTTCACTTCTGATCCGAGTCCCTACTAATACAGTTAGGAAAGTAATGAAAGATGATCCAAATGTTTGGGTGGGGTGGGTTAGGGGGACGCCGCCACCCATGTGGAAGACCTGGATGGAGTTCTAGACTTCTGAATTCAGCCTTGCCCAGCCCTTGCAGGCTCCTGGCTTTGACTGGGACTAGTTCTGGATATGGTGACCATTTGGGGAGTGAACTAGTGGGCGTAAGATCTCTCCCCTTGCTCTGTCTCCTTTTCTCTCTCTGTAACTCTGCCTTTTGTGTAAATAAATGCAATCTTTTAAATTAAAAAAAAACAACAACAAACCATGTTAGGCTCTGGGCCTGGCATGATAGCCTAGTGGCTAAATCCTTGCCTTGCATCTTCTGGGATCCCATATGGGCGCGCCGGTTTGTGCCCTGGCTGTTCCACTTCCCATCCAGCTCCCTGCTTGTGGCCTGGGAAAGCAGTGTGGGATGGCCCAAAGCCTTGGGACTCTATACTCCCTACACTCACTTGGGAGACCCAGAGGAAGCTCCAAGCTCCTGGCTTCAGATCGGCTCAGCTCTGGCCACTGTGGCCACTTGGGGAGTGAACCAGTGGATGGAAGCTCTTTTTCTGTTTCTGCTTCTTTCTGTATATATTTGCCTTTCCAATAAAATATAAAGTAGAATAAAATAAATCTTTAAAAATGTATTCTGCTCTGATTGACAAAAGCAAACCAATTCACAAATTTTAACCTTTATTAATAATTACTTGTGGCCATCACAGTCCCAAAAATGTGCTCCATTCTGTAAAATAAATAAAAACCTCAAGGACTTATGTTATCTTGCCAGAGCTCCATCCATGTGTATTCATACCAACTCTGGTTAATTCTCCTGTCCTCTACTGTGATCATCTCTGACTAAACTGTTCTTCCCAAGCAGCTTGTTTCCTGTTTACCACATTTACCTGTTAGAAGATTACCTTGTTCTTAATTCATCAGCCATCATTTTCAAACTCTCCTTTTTCCAGCATATGAAGTTGGGTCATGTTTATTTTCTTCCCTCTTCAGAATACAGTTTCTTGTTCTATTCTAAACATCCAGTCCAGAATGTCAGATGTAATTCATCCCCATCTCTTCTTGGTTGTTCCTCTGTTAATTTTTCCTTCTATTATTGATCTCCAACGCCTCTCTTTGTTTAATTTTTTCCTTCTAAGTCAGTTTTGAACTGGGATTTAGAAGCAAAAAATCCGGAAAAATTAAGTATTCCTCAATGTACAGTGTAATTTTCTATTTCCCTTTATGTTGCCTATTTGTGAGGGAAAGAATAGTTTATACTCATTAGCTTTATATCATATTTCTTTTCCGTTTTAAAGATTGTTTATTTGAAGGACAAACACAGATAAAGACAGAGGCAGAAAGAAAGCTCCTATTCACTGATTCACCTTCCAAAAGACCACACAGCAGAGACTGGCCCAGACTGAAGCCAGCAGCCAGGAACCTAGAGCAGCTCCCCCACGTGGGTGGCAGGAACTCAGCCATCCCTGCTCCCTCCCAGGGTGTACATCAGCAGGAAGCTGACCTTGGAGCTGAGCTGGGATTCACACCTAAGGCACCCTGAAAGGGGGTAGGCATCCCACGCAGTGTCAGACACCTGCTGCTTGCCCTTCTGTTTTGTTTGGGGAAACTCTTAGAACTTGAAGAAAATAGGATAATAAATACTCATATGCTTGTTATCTAACTTTAATATTAATATTTTGCCAATTTTGAAACTGCCAAGTAATTTATAGAGTCACGATGCTTTGCTCCTTAAATCATTGTGTTTGTCTTTAGAAAAGCATTTGCCTCTGCTATCGTATTGTCCTTACAGCTTATCAGTAATTCTGTAATATTACCTGCCAGTTAGTTTGTGTTCAGATTTTCTCAGTTGTACCAAAATTGTATTTGCTGCTGATTTGGAGTGCATTCACTTGTTCTGTCATTTAAATTTCTCAAGATTGAGATTGGCAGTGCAGATCCTCTCTTAAGTATGCGAGAACTTAAAAAAATTCATGGAGCGTGAAATCGACAGATATGCTGATTTGGGTACAGGAAAAATTTAAATCCATGCATATGAGTAGACGGCAAAAATTTTATGAAAAATATGTGTTATAAAATTGCATATGGATTTCATGATTTTTGTGCCTTAATAAACATATTATTCCATTTTACCATGGGCCCTTTGAGGTACTCTCATTTGTTGAGCTATTGAAGAAAGCAAGTGTCCTCTTAAGGGTTTATCATCTGTGTGTATCCTTGCGATCTTATTTAACTTTTCTGTTTCTTGTGATTTTTTTTTTTAACCTTGGTAAACTGGAAGCTAAATGTAAAGGCTTAGATTAAGAGAAAACAGTTTCCACAAAAAATGCTGAGTAGAAAATATGGTTTTGTCACACTTTAGATGCCATCTGGAGGTTGGACTGGTGTCTGAAAATGGATGATAACTTTATATGTAGAAAATGCGTTTCTTTCAATATAGAGCTCAACAGTAAGATACTTCATGTACTAATTATTTTAATCTACATCTTGAATGTTTGATAAATTTGTGACTTACTAGAAGAAATTGAACATGAACCATTGAAAAGTAAAATTGTTAACTTATTTTACATTGGAATAATCTTTAAGGTTAGTATCTTTTAAATGATAATATGATAATAGAGTGAGGAAAGTAATAAGTGAAGGCAGATTTCTTTGTTACGAAGTTGAACTTTGCTTCTTGCAGCAAATGGTGCTTTGGCTTAATAAGACTATATAATTCTTCAAGACTGCCAGTATTGCTCAAAAAATTATTGCTGATATTTTTTATATTGATATTATTTCATTTATGACAACAAAATTAAGATTTTTCTCTTTTTTTAAGAAGGAACTAGTTTTAAAAAAATACTTATTTTTTTTTTTACCTCTTTTCAAGGCAAAAGGAGAGAAAGAGGAAAGGAGAAGGAGAGAGAAGGAAAAAGGGAGGAGGGAGGAATTTTTTCATTTGCTGATTTAATTTCTAAATGCCTTCAATAGCCAGGGCTGGGCTGGGTGGAAGCCAGGAGCCTGAAACTCCGTCCACATCTGCCGTGTGGATGGCAGGAACCCGAGTTCCTGAACCACATCTGTTGTCTCCTGGGCTGCATCAACAGGGAGCTGGAATGAAAGCAGAGTGCCTGGGCCTGGAACCAGCACCTGAATGTGAGTGTACCACACAGCACTCACCCCAGCCAGGGGGTTCTTGATCTGTTACTCTTGTTACTTTCATTAATTGGCTTTAAAAGTGAATCTTTCCTCCTTAATTGGAGGCGATGTCCTTTTACTCAGAGAAGGGAGTTAGTAAGACGATGTTCCACCCAGTCATTCTTTTTAATGGGTATGCTATTAAGAATCTATATTCAGTTAGTTTTAATGTGCTATGATCCTTTGAAAGGCTTTTTTTTTTCTTAAATTTTTAAAAGAATTTTGATTAGCATGAATACTATTCCTTTTTTTGGGCACAGTATAGTATTTTCATACATATAGAGCATAAACCAGTTAAGCCAGGCAGTTAGCTTATATATTTGCATCGTACTGGATTTTCTTCCACTTCTTTACAGAGTAATTAATGTATCATCATAATCTTGGGTTGTCCCTCTGCTGTAGACAGTAGAAATTTTTACTTCTATTTTCAAACTCATTATCCAGCCTCCTTCTGTCTCTCCTCCCTCCTCTGCCCTTTCTAGTCTCCAGCAACCACTAGATTAAGATCTGCTCTTAGATCAATTTTGTTTTCTTCCCATATGAAAAAGAACATAGTAATGTTTGTCTCTTTGCATCTGGCTCATTTCATTTTACATAATGTTCTCCAGTTCTATCCATTTTCCTGCAAGTTTAAGGATTCTTTCATTTTTAAAATTCATTTAAAAGGTAGAGTTAGAGAGAGAGAGAGAGCTTCCACCTACTGATTCATTCCCCAAGTTGCCTCAATGGCTAGAGCTAAGCCAGACTAAAGCCAGGAGCTGGAAGAATAACAGAATCTCCCATGTGGGTACAAGAACCCAAGGTTTTGTGCCATCTTCTCTTGCTTTCCTGGGTATTTTAGATAGCAGCTGTGTCAGAAGCAGGAGGCCAGAGCACGAACCTGGGCTTGGGTCCTGACTCTGCTTCCAATTCCAGCTTCCTGCTAATGTGCACCCTAGGAGGCATCAGTGATCACTCTAGTTTAGTCTGCCAATGCTCTGGGAGACCAGAATTGAGTTCTAGGCTGCTAACTTGAGCCAGACCCAACCTTGGCTCTTGGTAACATTTGAGGAATAAACAAAATTTCTTTCTCTGCCTTTGAAAAATACAGATGTAAAGAAAAAGAAACGATCGCTTGATAATAGCATGCATAAGTTTCTGCTGTGAAATTAACAGTGCAGAGAGCAGCTGTGATTTTCTTCTGGTTGATTGGACAAGCCAGCATGAAGACCCCGAAACACTGTGAGGGGGAACAGAGTGGCTTTGTCACAGAGCAGCCTGGAAACACCACTTGGGTGGTGACATCTTATGTACTGATAGCTTGCCCTTCTTGTGCAACTGATGAGAATGGTACTCACTGCTGTGGTCTTTCTCGCATCGATCCATAGCTCCAGGATGACCTAGAGAATGGCATGAGATAAATCTCATTAGAAGGACGTTCACAAAGTACCTGACCAGCACTCCTCAAAGCTATCATGGTCATCAAAAACAAGTAAAGTCTGAGAAGCCATCACACCAGAAAGAAACCTAAAGAGACTTGACTGCTAAATGTTATCCTAGGAGAGAAAAGGAGGCATTGGGGAAAACTAAGAAAATTTGTATAAAGTATGGGCTTTAGCTAACAATTACACATCAGTGTGAGTTCCCTAATTGTAATAATGTACCATGCTATTGTAACTTGCTAGTAGTAGAAGAAGCTTGAACAAAGTACTTGGAAACTTTATACTGCCTTCATAGTCCTTCTATAAACCTAAAGCTGTTCTCCCAGAAAAAATTTATTAAAAAACACAGTCAGTGCAAATGACACTGACATTTCAGACCCTGTGTCTCTGGGGTTGAATTGAACACACTTGCTGACTGTGTGGAGAAGCAAGGGTTGAGTAATGACTCCTGTTTTGCTTTAGATTATGAATACTCATTCATCAAAATGATGACATTTTCACATAACACCTCATGGTAACTGCTTCAGAGCAGTCATTTCTGAAGGCCCTACACCTGCTTTAACAGGGTAACCAATGTTCAGAATGTCTTACGGCTCTTTAGAGTCTTTTTATTTATTATGGATGTCTTATTTTTTGGCTTTTTTAAAGATTTATTTTTATTTGAAAGAGAGAGAGAAGAGACAGGCAGATCGATCTTTCATATTCTGGTTCACTCCTCAAATGGCCACAATGGCTGAAGCTGAGCTGATTGGAAGCTAAGAGCCAGAAGCTTCTCCCAGATCTCCCATGTGGATTCAGAGGCCCAGACACTTGACTCATCCACTGCTGCTTTCCCTGGCACATTAGCAGGGAGCTGGAACTTGAACTGCTGCCCATGTGGAATGCCAACACTGTAGGCAGAGGATTATCATGGCATGCCACCATGCTGGCCCTGATGTATTGTTTTGTAAGAATTTGTGTAACAATCATTTTTTTTTTTAGATCAAATGTGCCAAGTTATAACCTTGGAAGAATTGTAGAAACTATGTTAATATATGTAGATAGCATAATTTAATAATGGTTTATGAATGGAAAGATTCATTCTTACCTCTTTTTTTTCTTCTTAGGCTTGAAAAGGAATATACTACAATAAAAACTAAAGAAATGGAAGAGCAAGTTGAAATTAAAGTAAGCAACTCAGGAATTTCTAAAGTACTGTAGATAAATTAATTGATGTCAGTATCTGGCACCAGATATTAGATTATGTGGCTGAATTGTTACCATCTGTAGTAGATGTAGCACTGGAGACCCTGTTTGTTGTGTGTGTTGGTAAAATTATTTACCGTTGCCTGGACTGTCATTAAAAATTGATACTTCAAAAGGCAGAATAGTGTAACTGAAATGACTTTGTTCTCCCAGGAGAGAGAGACTCTCTTTGTTCTTGGATTTGTGAGTCAGCAGTGGAAAATATCTCCATGGGCAAGATGATTAGCCTCTGTTTAAGCATATTTTTAAAAGTGGCAGAGAAAATCATCTGTGATATATCACAGGGACAGTGGTATAATCAGAGATGGACTCAATAGAGAAATCTTAGCACTAGAACTAACTAGGGTTGTGTCAGGCTGCAGGCAACTTTGACTAATATTTTATGCTTTTGAACTACTTGTATTCAGCAAGGCAGGTAGATTTTCAATGTGAAGGACATATCAGTATACTAGCTATACTCTTGAAATTCTTCCTTGTGCTTGCCGTAAGCCAAGGCCCGTGGCTGTGGTGGAGCTAGGCTTCAGGCAGGCTGTATGGGCTGCCCTACACTGCTAAAGCAGGAGGTCAGTGCTGCCTGTGAGCCTGAGCCCAAAACGGGGTGATCTGTTCTCCAGCTTGCTGCCTCTTTAAGTCCTCCCCTCCCATAGAAACCAGCATCCATTGCATGACTCCCAGCCCCATCATCAGACTCTGCTTAGGTGTGTTTGAATTTTGCCTTGGCCCTGCAGAGACATCAGTTGGTCACTCTGTTCATAAGGAGCTGCATGTTAACAGAGCCTTGTGGTGAGAGCCTGCACAGGTCGCTTCTACAGCCAACAGCTGCTGTTACACTAGCACCATTTCTTGCTTTGTACCTCTTCAGAAGCCTCCTGGGAAATACCCATTTTCCTCTGGGAACTCTGTCTCTCTCATCAGCTCTGTCCCTTTTCTAGGTGTTTCATTCACTTAAAAAAAAAGTCATCTGTTCCCTTCCCTACCAGTTGGAAATGTAAAGGTTCCTCAAAAGAGCTAATGGAAAATTGAATTAAAAGATAAATTTGTTGTGGTTTAAATTTTTGAAATCCATGCAAACTTTTTTCATAATAGGCATTTTTGATGAATTTTCTTAAGATTTATTTTATTTATCTGAAAAGCAGAGTAACAGAGAACAGGGGAGAAATAAAGATATTTTTGACCTCCTGGTTCATGCCCCAAATGGTGGCAGTGGCAGGGACCAGCATTGCCAAGAGTGGGAAGGTAGGTAGTAGAGTCCCAGCAGCTGGGCCTTCTCCGGCATGGTAGCAGGGAGCTGGATCAGAAGTGGAGCAGCTAGGACTTGATTTAGTGTTTCCAAATGGGATGCTAGGCTCTCAAGGGGCAGCTTAAGCTACTCTGTCACAACACTGTCCCCATACATGAACTTTTGAAGATGCCTCACAGATAAAAGTCTCTCCTGTGAACATTTTTTCCTCCCTTTTTAAAATTCTGTCACCCGACTGCTGCTCTATCATTTGCTTTTCTTTTAGGTACCATGAGTAAGTTTAATATTAAATCATATCCTGCAGTCCAGCCTACTGAGAGTAAAAAGCACGTCATTGTGATGAGTGGGGAGAAAGCATGCTCTGTCGCATACCATGATGAGTTGGAACTGCAGATCAAGAATCTGAGGGTGGGGAAGCCAGCCTGTTCATCTCCCCCTGCTGTTACTGGAAACAAAACAAGTCACAATCCTGTGAACAAGCCTGGTTCTTGATGTTTCTTTCAAAATCAAGCCACATGAATATAGAAACAAAAACAGTTTAGCTCTAGCTTGTAGTAGAAGTTTTTTTTTTTTTTCACCCCAGTACTTTGGTTTTTTTTTTTTGGGAAACTTGTGGTTCATATGCCCCCAAAATGCATTTGAATACTAGCTCCAAATGCCCTTGGCAGATAGCATGTGAAACTCTTCCATACAGAAGTTAGGGGGAAAAAGAGTTTTTTTAAAATGGGAATAACCAGGTAAATAAAGTATGCTAATCTCAAAGGGAGTGTGTCCTTTTTTTTACAGACCTGCTTCCATGTAGTCTTGAACCATGTTCATCTCTTTCCTCACTTCCCCAGCCCCCAGAGGGACAAAGTCAAAGCAACTTTTGAGTGACCCGAGTCTGTTATTCTTTGTCTGGGTGTGACCTGGTAGCTGGCTGTGGCCCGAGGACCACCTTACTTTCAGTCCATTTGTTAGCTGTGTATTAACTGGGCCTTACTGTGACATGAGAGATGCCTTGTCTCGCTCCCTGACTCCTTCGCCTGAGGTCTCTTAGAAGGGAAGGGGTCTGGTAAACTCGTACTTTCTTGTCTTGCCCTGCTCAAAAGCCTCCAAGGAGATAGCTCCGTACCATTCTTGACAGAAGCAAATTGTATTACCATCACATTATTTGATGTGCTGATTTGAAAGTGTAAATCAGCCCTTGGTTTCATTAAATCTTAATTAGAACTCTAAGCCTTTTGAGATGGTGACCTGTCAGTGAGCACTTGGGTTAATTATGTTTTTAAGTATGTTCTTGGGCCCCTTGCGTGAAAGCATTGCAGATTTTGATAATAATGACTTCACGAGGAAAAGCTCATGACTAACCATGTGAAGTTTCTATTAGGAGGGATATCTTTATCATCTGTTGATATTCTACCGAGGGGGAAGAGGGAAGAAACACTCAAATCTTTCATTTTATTTAGGATAACACACTCACGTTTAAAAAGAAAATTCTTTATTTTTACACTCCTTTCAGATGGACATACCAACTGACAATCCAGTTTTTTATTTAAATTTGCACATTGGGATATAGAGTAAATGGAATGATTTTAGACATTGTGATGGGTTTATTGGTAAGAAGTATTTTTTCTTGTTTCAAAATATGTATTTCAGATCAGATGAAAGTCTGTATCTACTGCCTAGCCTACAAAAAGAAAACATGGTGCATATTAAGTTTTTCACGAACTATACTTAACAATTAGCATGAAAGAATTGAAATACATTTATTTCATTCTAATACATAGTAGGTCATTTACATGTATTATCTACCCTTTTTTTTTTGAGATTTATCTGTTTTTATTTGAAAGGCAGGTTTACGGAGAGGGAAGGAGAGACAGAGATCTTCCACTCATTGCTTCATTCCCTAAATGCCTACAAATTGCTGGAGGTGGGTTGGTCTGAGTCTCGGAGCCTAGAGCTTCATCTGGGCCTCTCATATGGGTGTAGAGGCCCAAGGAATTGGGCCATCATCTGTTGCTTTCCCAGGGACATAGTAACAAGCTCTCTAAGAGACATAGTAAGGACATATTCATCAGAGGTGAATAGCCAGAACTCAAACCGTTGCCCATATGATATGCTGGCACTACCAGACGGAGGCTTTACCCATTGTGCTATGGTCTTGCCCCACTTCTGCCCTTGTTTTTACAAGCAGCCTGATGAAAGGATTCTTAGCTTGGCCATTCCCTAAAGAAATTAAGCTTCAGAACACTCACTTTACATTGCTAGACAATAGTGAAAGTCTAGGATTTGAGCTCTGATGGGTGTTTATTATCATACAGTGTGCTGCTTTCTGGGAATGACTGATATACATATGATGTAAGCAGGATTTGGGTGTCTGCTTTTCTATGGCACCACAAACTTTTCGTGAGAAACTGTTGGCTACTTCATATCCATATTGAAGACATACTAACACAATTTCTGCAGTAAGTGATTCATTTAACAGATAACTTAGTGTTCTGGTGAGTTAAGATGTAGTTATGAATTAGACCCATCCTTGCCCTTATGGAGCTCGTATTCTAGTATGGAAATCAGGAGCAAACAGAAAAGTCAATTATGTAGTAATTAGGTGATGATGAATGTTAAGAAGGGAGAGGTACCTCAGGGGAAGAGAATGGGTTGATAATTTGAGGGAATGGACCTGGTGATGTTTGTGAAGACCAAGAGGCACCAGATAAGTGACTGTAAAGAGGATACAACCTGGTCAGGAGTATGTCTGGTAAGAAGGCCGTGTGGAAGGCATAAAGTGTGTGGAGAACCATAGTGGGAGATAAGAGAATGGGTCACATCTGATGCAGTGGACTTTGGCTTCTACAGTGGTCAAGTGGATGCCATTGAGGATTTTCAGTAGAGGACTTAGGTTTTCAGTGATCTTCTTGGCTGCTGTGTTGAGAGTAAATTGTAGGAGATAAGAGCAGAAGCAGGGAGATTAACCAGAAGGCTAATGAAGTAATGTGGGCAAATGATGGTGGGACAGGTGTTATGGTGTAGAAGGCTAAGCTATTCCTTGGGATGCCAGAATCCCATATCAGAATTCCTGGCGTAAATCCTGACTCCTCCACTTTGAGTTCACTCCCTGCTGATGTATTCTGGGAGGCAGCACAAGATGGCTTAAATACTTTGGTCCCTGCTGTCCATGTGGGAGACCAGGATGGAGCTCTGTGCTCCTAACTTCACCCTGGGCCAGGCCTACCTGTTGCAGGCATTTGTAGAGCGTGCCAGCATATGGAAGAAATCTCTCCCTTTCTCGCTCTGTTCCTCCTTCCCTCTTTCCCTTCTCCTTTCTCTATCTCCCTTTCTCTCTCTCTCTCTCTGTCTCTCTCTCTCTCTGTCTCTTTCTGTCTGTGTGTGTGTGTTTCTTGTTCTGACTTTCAGGTAGATGATACACTTTAAGAAATGATGATGGCTTAGATTGGCTTAGATTGAGGGACTAAGAAGCAGTTGGGTTCTGAGTAGATTTTAAACATGACACTGAAAAATTGAAGAAAAGTTTTTTAAAAAAGAAATGAGGGCCCGGCGGCATGGCCTAGCAGCTAAAGTCCTTGCCTTGAACGTGCCAGGATCCCGTATGGGCACCGGTTCTAATCCCGGCAGCTCCAGGTCCCATCCAGCTCCCTGCTTGTGGCCTGGGAAAGCAGTTAAGGACGGCACAAAGCTTTGGGACCCTGCACCCATGTGGGAGACCTGGAAGAAGTTCCTGGATCCTGGCATAGCATTGGCTGTTGTGCTCACTTGGGGAGTGAATCATCGGACAGAAGATCTTCCTCTCTGTCTCTCCTTCTCTCTGTATATCTGACTTTCCAATAAATAAAAAAATCTTAGAGAGAGAGAGAGAGAGAGAGAGAGAGAACCATGAGGCTAGATACTACAATTACCTGGTGAATGAGTGTAGAGAAAGTATAAAGATGGCATTTTAAAAATTGAGTCCAAAAGAAGGCTGAAGTTTAAAGGTTAGGAAAATGAGGAGAAAGCTGCAAGGGAGGAGAAAACCAGTTAAGTGCAGAGTCCTTGATCCCAAGAACAAATGTGCCAGAAGAATTCAGTGCTGCAGGTTGTTTTTGAGATGTGAAGATGGAAAAGTGACCACTGGATTTAGCAGCATTGTCAACAGACTGGACAGGAACAAACGAGTGTTGGTTGCTAACACCTGACTAGAAGGGAAGTAGGAGCCCTGGAGATGATTTTCAAGGAGTTTAAAGAAGAGAGAAATGGGGGATAATTAGGGTAGATATGTTGAGGGTTTATTTTGTTGTTTGTTTTTAAAGAAAAATAGCTGCTTTCTTTTTCAGTATCAGTGAGGTGGGAAAGCAGATGGTAGGAGAGCAGGGGTTATTACTGGAGACCAGAGGGTGTGGGACTCGGTGCACATGTGGAAGGTCTGATTTGGTATAGTAGAATGGATTGCCAAACCACCGTCACAGGAGATAAAGCGTATTGGCAAATTGCATAATTGTGGGAGCTTGTGAAGTTCTCTTCTGATTGCCTCAGTTTATTTCAGTGAATCTGAGGATGGTTGCTTGGTGGATTGCTGATCTGAAGAAAGAGGAGTGTGAACTGGTGAGCTCGAGGAGGGAGAGGAGTGAATGAAGGGTATGCACGTGTGTTGTTAACTACTAGGAAACATTGCTAGTCCGGCCGACTTCAGTGATGTTGAGTTTAAGTAAAGACCTTTCCTCTTGGACCAGATTCTGTCACAGCTACAGAGTTCCCCGGACTTGATATCGAGGAATTAATTTACCAGGCAGCTGTTGTGCTCAGGAAGGAGAGGGGCAGAGGGATATAAAAGAGAAGAACAAGGGAAGATATATATGGATTGGGAAGAGAGGAATTCAGGAATTGGGGGGCAGTGAAAAGTGGTTGAGATCATTGTGTTGTCCCAGTGAGAAGGAGCATTGTTGGGGTTTGGTGTTTAAGCTGGAAAGAATAGGAGATGATTGTTCAGGAGTAAGTTGTCTGAAACGGATTCCTTTATTTTGGGTGTTTCATATTTTTAAAATTCCATTATTAAAAACTTACAAAACAGTGAAGAGTTTGAGTTTGGGTTTTGACAAAATAAAGGAGGGACAACTTGGGGAATTTGTAAAAGTGAAAAGAGAACCTCTATATGGGATTAATGAGAAATTATATTGGTGGAATATGCAAAAATATGATTTTTTAAAATGTTAAGTGATTTGTGTTGAGTACTTTGCTAACAATAGTTTGGCAAATTTTGGGAGTTAGCTGTTGAATATTTTTGTACAGTTTTTTGCAGTAAGTAGAAAAGAAAAGAGTTATTTCTGATGTACTCTAGGCTTATATTTGAAATGCACTTACATCTGGAATGAAAAATAGGATTTTTTTGCTGTTTTTTGAGCCTTTCATAATTCGACATAATGATACTGTAACCATTCCTTAGACTCTTCTTATTTGTAAAAATGTACATTTTTTAGGACTATAGTTTAGGACTGATTTTTCAATTCAAGAGTGCTTACAAAATCGTTTTTCTGTTCCAGAGGTTACGCACAGAAAATAGACTTTTAAAACAGCGTATTGAAACATTAGAAAAAGTAAGTAAATGTGTATTTTTACAGTCATTTATGTTGACTCCTTAAGTATTTTTTCTGTAAAAAGCCAAAAAAAAAGCCACTGTAATATGTGTTTCATAAGTTGTGATATGAACCTGCTTAGCTTCTCTAGCTATTGTTTTCACAAAATAATTTGTAATGAATAAAGTTGAACAGTACTGTTCCTTGTGCCTCCTTATTAAAGTTTTCACTGAGGTGGTTGGAGTAGCATGTTGATGCCATTTGTTTTCTGTACATAAAATATTTATAAAGTAAATCTTTTCAGAATGTAGTTGGGACTGTATTCTGACGTAGCAGTTGAGATGAGTCTCAGATGTTGCTCTGTCTTTCCAGATAAATTTTAGATGTGGTAATGATTCCTGTAAGTCCTAGAATTACTTACATTTAGTCATAGTAACTGATTCCTGATATGAAAATTCGGTGTTATGTTGATTTTCAACAAAAAGTAATTATGCATAAACTTTCAGGTTTTAGAGTTATTTTTATATCTGCTTCTTCCTGTTCTCTGATAAAACAGTAACTGGGCAAATGCAGAAATTTCACATTTTCTTCTTGTGCTTTTGATGTGTTTTGTAGTTGTGCTTATGGTGCTGTAAGAAGGAACTGAAAATAAGAGCTTGGTTGAGGAAAAAATGCTTATTAAAAGAATTAACATCTGAATTCACAAACTCTTTTATTTACTTTTTTTTAATTTTTAAATAAAGGTGGCAGTAAGATTTAAAAAGTTTCTACTATTCTGTTGCGAAGTATCTTAACATCTTCCCTGAACATTATTGAACCACCCAAGTAACAAAGATGCAGTGAAAAGTTTTGTTTGGCTTTTGTTTTAGAAAATGAAATACCTTCTTCGTATTGGTTCAGATTCTCTAGGATATATACATACCATGTGTCAGTTGGATTCTGTTCCAAGTTTACTCAATTGCTGCAATGATTTAGTAGTTTAAATGCATTGATTTTGTTTTTCACATTCTTGCTTTGTTTCTTTGGAATTTATTATTGCACAAATTGCTGTGGTACTTCGTACGTGGAATTACTTACTCAAATTCTTTCTCCTTTTCTTGAAAATGCTGTTAACATGGTTAAGTATAAAAATGAATATGTAAAAGTTTTGCTTTCAAAAGAAAATATTTGTCCCAAGAAGTGAAAAACCACTTGGAATTTGTGTTGATCTTTTTTTTTGTGTGTGTTGATCTTTTAAAGAAATACATAATTTCCTGCCATTTATCCTTATTTTGATATACTTTAATGCTTAAGGATCACTGCACATTGAGTGGAAAGTAGTTTTAAATTTTACGTGTCTGTTTTAGCAAAGTAGGTGGAATTTGAGTATATTTCCTCTTATTCCTAATTTTACCACTTTCATTTCTCTCTCTTATATTTCCATCTGAATTTTTCCTTTTGTAGGAAAGTGCTTCCTTGGCAGATAGATTGATACAGGTATAGTTTTGGTTTTGTTTTTGTTTTAGCATTTTCTCTAACATTAACTGTAAGGAAAGTCCTAAACCTAGAAATTCATATTTTAATGCATGCAATTTTACATGCATTTTTCTAGAAATAATACTTTGGGATGGTATTTGTGGATATAAACTTAATTTTTCGTAACTTTTATTTTTGGTTCATTAAAATAAGCACTATTTGCACGTGTCTTAAAGCTAACCTTATTTTTTAAAGCATTTATTTTAAAATAGCAATCAGTGGATTTTGCAGAATTAACCCCTATGCATTGAAAACTTTAGTCCTGCATGTATAATTTAGTAATATTGCATGAACCGAATTTCTGTTGTCTACAAGAATTGTTAAAATTGTCACCCGAAATTTTTAGTTTCCCCAAATTTGCTGGGCCAATAAGAAACTGCTAGCTGATAATGACTTAGGCTGTTCTGTTCTCTGAGGTGATTGATTTTTTAACATGTCGAAGTAGATAACTAAGCCTCACGAAGGCAGTCTGTCTTGAATCTACCTGAAATTGCTTTATACACAACACAAATTATGTCCTAAGGGACAAGTGACAAGAGCCCAGGAGGCTGAGGAAAACTACCTCATAAAACGCGAGTTGGCCACCATCAAACAGCAGAGTGATGAGGCCAGTGCTAAACTGGAGCATGCTGAAAATACCATCAGGAAGCTGCAGCACCAGCAGCAATGGGTAAGGAGTCTGGTAGTGTTTCTACTCCTCATCTCCCACATCCCCTTCCCTTTACGTACATGGTTGTCGCCTTTTTTTCTTTTTCTTTAAGCACTGCTTCTGTGCTGCTATCTTAAATAACTTTCAACTCTAAGTTAGGCCGTTTTATGTCCTTTAATACTTACAGGGGTCTTATTTTGGCCTGTGGACTCCTAATTCTAACTTTTTTTTCTGTCTGTTTTGTTTTGTTGTTGGAAATAGATAATATTTTCTTTCCATACATTATGTTCTAAGTCCTAGGAAATAAACAAATGAACAGACTTACCTTTTAGGCTTGGCAAATCTGTTGCAGTGTTGCATTTTTGCAAGTCCTAATTGCAACTAGTTGTTCTTTACTATGCAGTTGAACATTATCCAACTTGCAGAAAATATGTAATTATCTCATTTACAGCTTTGATAATGGGGCACTTTTTATTTTGTACTTTAGATTTATTGTATCAAGACATTGAATTGTGCGTTAAGATGTATGACTTCATTTCTTCAAGGGAAGATATCCGGATGGAAATATAACGAACTCTTCAACAATTATAGTAGCCAAGATAGAGTACTAAGCAATCACTGGATACAGCTTGCTTTAGTTATGCTTTGCAACTTAAAAATAATTTTCCACTGGGAAAATAGAGTAAAGTGATCTTAATAGTAGGAAAGCTACAAAAAATCTAATTGTCTTTATAAAATTATTTCTTCTTTCAGTTTTCTGTTTCAGAATAGGAGTGCAGTAGTAGGCAGAAAAGGGCATGTTAAACCTAGAACTCAGTAGAGATCTGGAGGACCAGCAGGATGAACATGAAATTGGATATTGTCTCTATTTGATAACATTAATAAGCCACATTGCCATCTGAAAGCTAAAAGCAAAAGCAAAAGGATGGTAATTGGAAGGACCATAGCTGTATGTTTTATTCTATTATTGAGGATAATTAAGAAAATGGTTAGGAGAGTGATAAAACAAAGCTAAAAAGTCGGGGACTTGGGTATTTTGATCTGTACTGGCATGGAATGTCAGTGTCAAAGCATGAAGCCAAAGCAGCCGAACCGCGTTGAAGATCGTGCTGAAATGGATTGGCAACGCAGTGTGCTTGTCTTAGAAGGAAAGATATACTTATCTTTGGATAAGTTTGAGTTTAGGCCAATCTGCAGTCATGCTTTAGAATGATGAGTTTTTTTCATATTGTTTTCCCATTCTCAACATCCTTAAGTAGATGAAAGGATAGAGCATTAGTTTATAAAGAATAAAAAATTTAACAGGACAAGCCAAACTGCCCAAAATGAACTGAGGCTTTTATAAATTGTTAAGAGTAACAGGTCTAGTCTGAAGAACAATGGGGCTAAAATATAGCAGGGATCAAGCAGAGCCTTGATTTTTTTTCGATGACTTTCTAAAATGAAGTAAATGATGACACAAATATAAAAAGCAGTGATGCTTAGAGTGGGTAAAAGAAAGTAACACTGGTTAAATTTCCAATTTTAGGGTGTGTGGTTCCTACATAGTAGCTTGCTTTACAGTATACTCATAGAAATATAATCTTTAAGAGATTTTAGAAAAGTTAAACATACAAAAGGCTCTAAGAATGAACAAAAATGTTTCTTACGGAAAGCAGTGAAAAAAAAGGTTACATTTCTGAAAAGTGTATCTGGTGACCTTGGCAATGCTTGATTAAAAATTCCTACAGCATTTCTGTTGTGTGACCAGTTAGAAAAAAAAAATTAGGGGGAAAAAAAAAGAATCTTGATGAAGGTTTACTGTACATGGAAAATAATTTTGTTTCATAACCAATAAGAACCATGCCATAAGAGCAGGGCTTTAGCTTAGCTACAGAAATATAATATTGAAATGGTAAAATTAGGTGGATTTATAGGGCATTCACCTACCAAGAATACTATTTATGTTTAAGGGAAGAGATGTCACCGATATTTTTCTCCTAACCTTAGAAGTGAAGTATTTCAACTTCAGATCTCCTTAGAGTGCTTTTCTACTCAAACATGAAATATTTCTGAAATGTAGATAATGTATTCATGGTGGATCAGAATTCCAAAAGTATTCATAGAGAACAAGAAACTAAAGTTAAAGATTATTTTATAGAAACAAAGCTATAGCTCCACCCTTAGATTTAAAATTTAGGTATGTGTTAGCATCACCTTGTGGTAAACAAAAAGCTAGAGATTTTAATTGAAATCCGAAATCAGTCAGTGACTTGTAAGGTGACTGCCCTCCCCTCAATTCCAAGGGCAGTCTTCCTAGGAGTGTAATGAACCTATTGAATTCTAAGTAATTTGTAAAAAGTTCACAGTATTTTATCTAGTTTGATCACCAAATTCACATGAAACAGCAACCGATTGTATTGTGGCCTGCAAAGAAAAGACTGTGAGCCCAGACTTTTTCTTAGGCTTCAGTAATAACAAAAGACTTCAGAAGAATACCGTAGTCATTTTCAGATATTGGAGAAAAAAAAAAAACTTATGTTAAAATCATTAGCCTTTTTAATATATGTAGCTTTAGAAGGCAGAATGTATTCAAGATCCAAGCATATCCATTAGAATTTGGACCGACAGAGTATTTGCTTGGTAAAGTAGTGAGCTTTTGAGTACGACTAGTAGAAAGCAGACATTTATTAGTAAATGTTTTGATTGCAGCCTTTCAATATAACTGTATTCTTCAAACCTCTCAGAATAAACATTTCCAGTTCATATTCCAGGCTAGATAAACCAGTATGAACATGTGCCATCACCACCCCCTGCTGCCAAATAATAGCATTTGACATGATACAGAGGACTTAGCGTTCATATGTGGAACTAGGTTTCGGGTCCTGTTTTACTAACTCTGTGACCTTGGATAGTTTAGAACAGTTTTTGTTGTTGTCTTCTAAAATAATCAAATAGGACTATGCTATTTCAGATCTCTCACTTTTTAATGAACTTCATGGGAGTGCAATTTAAATGTAATAAAGTTTATCGAATATAAAGGATACAGTTTTTGTTTGAAATGTATGGTAGTTATGTCACTGTCACCACAATAAAAGAATGTTTGTCAGAATCCTTCTGTATCCTTGCAGTTCACACTCCCCACCCACTCCCCATTCCCAATAAGCTGTCTGCTTTCTGTCACCATGGTTTTCCCTTTCCTAGTGTTTCTTAGAATTGGAGTTGTAAGATGTGGCACTTTGATGTCTTTGAGTTCTTTCACTTATTCTCACTCTTTTGTTTGGGGGAGGATTTTCTGTTGTGATGCAATGCTCATAATATAAATGTACCATATAAACTGACAGTTCCAGGTCCAACCCTCCCTCCTCAGTGTGGTCGGATACAGATGTATGTTGGATATGACATTTTTGCTAAGCGATTATTGCTTTATCTGTTCAAGAGACTTTAGCCCTGCATATCACAGCTTGTCATTTTAGTTACCCCTGATTAAACAGTTTTGTCTGGGTGTTCTTGGCGCAGATCAGCATAAAGAAGGAAGGATTTGGTAGTGAAAACAGCTGAATGCTAAATTGCTTTGTCAAATTTTTCAGATTGCTATACTAAAAAGTTCTTCAGAGGATGTTAGACAAGATTTGTTCCTACCTCCCTCCTTTTCTGTAACTTGAGACTTTGAAAGAATTGCTTAGTACATTTAAGAAACAAGTGATATGAGGAATAAAAGCTAATCTCATCTAGATTAAACATATGGATAAATTTTAATGAAACAAAAACTACCTGTTTGTCAGTGGAAGTTGTGAATTCTAAAATGACAGAAGCAAAAAGGATCACCAAGGACTACAACTTCACCTTTTTAACTTCTGCAATAAACAAAAAAGCATGCAGGGTTTAAAAGCAGTTTCTACTAGTATTTCTGTCAGTTTCATTGGAATGGCGTTGTTTATAATCATTGAAACATTAAGTGATTCTTTTGACAGTTGTTATTTAGTAAAACAAACTGTATGTCCACCTTACTGATTTGAATAGGAATTGCACCCTTCTAGCATTTCTTATTATTTCTTATTCACATTATGTAAAACCTAGATTCTCTTCTTTTTATAGAAGCATAGATTTTTCTTAAAGAGATTTATAATTTATTTATGTATGTGTTTATTTGAAGGAGTTAACAAAGAGATTTTCCATCACTGGTTTACTTCCCAAGTTGCCAAAATCCACACCAAAGCCAGGATCCAGATGCTTCATCTGGGTCTTCAACAAAAGCAGCAGGGGCACAAACACTTGGGCCATTAGCAGGGATTGGGACCAGAAGTGGAGCAGTCTGGACACTAACCAGTACTCATATGGGATGTTTGCATCACAGGCACCTGCTTTACCCACTACACCACAACACCATCTTTAGAAGCTTAGATTCTTTGTGTGTGTTTAACATTATACCGTTAATTCTTAGGCAAGTGTTCCAACAAGCTGAGGAGGAGAAGGTTTTTAAGAGTGGAATAGTATATAAAGGACTGTGGACTAAACTCTTGGAGTTTGTTGAGGAACAAATGGGAATACAAAATTAGAAATCACAAGCATGCTGCAGACTTTAAAAATTACCCCCTGAACAATGGAAGATAATTACAAGTTTTTATTTAATGAATGCATAGTTGAAAGGAGTGTTGTGGGGAACTATGATACCAGTATATACAATCAGTCACTATAGGGTCAAATGGTAATGTGGTGACCAGTTCTGGGGTAATGAAAAGGTGAGACTAAAAGGAAATATTCTATAGCAAAAAATCTTACTGTTCCATGAAAGGCAGCAGCACTTCATTATTGAGGCAGGGAGATTTGAGACCAGTTATAAGTACAGAATTCAAAAGAAGGAATTGGTTGGGGAAGATGACGATCAACCTCTGAATTAAGTTTTATTTAAGTAGAGAACATTTGTGTGGAAATGTTCAGTAGTAAATCAAAAGCCATAGTTTTTGAAAATGGTAATAACTTAATATTCATGATCTAGTGTAGTCTCTCAGAAATAAATTTCTGAGCACAAGGATAGGGATTAAAGGAAATACCTTATAAGGACAAAGATTCTTTTTAAAAAGATGTTATGATTTATTTATTTGAAAGAAAGGGAGAGAGACACAGAAGAGATCTTCCATCCATTAGTTCTCTCTCCAGATAGCTGCAACAGCAGGGGCTAGAATGCACTGAGACTCGGAGTCAGGAGTGTCTTCTGGGGTCTCCTACTTGGGCAGCAGGCACATAAGCACTTGGGCCTTATTCCACTGTTTTTCCCAGGCCATTATCAGGGAGCTGGATCAGAAGTGAAGCAACCATGTTATGAACTGGGAGCATGTGTATTGCTGGCATTACAAGAAGTGGCTTAATGTGCTATGGCTCGCTCCAAGAGCAGAGATTCTTAATTTGGGGCATGTAGAAGTTTCAAGAAGTCTGAACTTATATATAAAATTCTGTGAGTGTAATTTTGAGGTTAAGTAAGTTTTGTAGCCTTCATGTGTTTCCCAAAGGATCTGTATGACTCAAAGTATATTATTATTGGAGAATGGAACAGGTGACTCATCATAGAAGCTAGACTGAACACCAAGACCAGAGACCCTAGATAAGACTAGAATTGGAAGGTGCAGAAAATGACAGCTGAGGGGAAGTTGAGCCTCTTAAGAGAAGGGCAAAAGAAAGGATGAGGGGGAGAGGGTGGGAGAAGAGTGATCGCTTATGCATGCAAATCTGCACTGAGGAAAAAAGTAAAGAAATGCATTACAGTATATATTTTTAACAATATAAACTTAAAATGTAGTTTCATGTTTTGTTCTTTAGACCATCAAAAATGCTCTGTATTCCTTAGATCTTTTATAATTTGCAGTGTGATTTGATATCCATCATGATGACATAAAAGTTAAAATTATGATGTGTGGACTGTGTCACTATCAGAGTTTACCTAGAACATGTGGATTGGTTTTAATCCAGCAGGATATGATATTTTAATACATGAAAGGCATATCATGTACACTATCCAGAATGCCACGTTATTCAGCATTTTAACTGAGTTTGGCCAGAGTTGTTCTCTCGTTATTGCTGTAGGTCTTTGTGCTTAGTTGGAATAGTAATTTTATACTGGATCAAGGATTCCATCCTCGTGCAGGCCACTTGAGCTTGATGTTTTCTTAGATATCCTAATAGAGGGTCTTGGCAGACAAGCCGGAACTACGATTGGGGTTTTAGATGGAAGACAGAAATTCTAGTAGCATCCATAAAATAGCTGTGTTCTCTAAACAAATTATGACACCTCTAGTTTTGGGTGTGATTGCTCTGGAAAAGTGCTTTTCTTCCCACTTGATAAGGTAAGTATTTACTAAGGTGAAAGACTTACTGCAGATACACAACAGTGTATCACAACAGGTGCAAGCATTGCGATAACAGTGTCAAGATCCCTAGAAGTAGTACAGGGTAAAGATACTTACACATCTTTTTGGGCAAATAGAGCAGGAAAATACTATGTGTTTTCATTAAACATTTAGTCACTTTTTATTGTTTTAATTTTGTAAAGATGTACTATTATTTACTCATGCCAGTCCAACATTCAGCTGCCACTTCTCTTCTTTAGTACATGAATTAAATGTGAAGTGATAATGTTAGCTAGTCTTTCATGATGATGAATTAGATACACTTCTGTTCCACATGCTTCCTTTCCTTCCCCCCACTCCCCTCCCCTTCACTCTTCTTCCCTCCCCTCCTTTGCTCTACTCCCCTCCCCTCTCCTCTTCTCTTTTCTGTTTGGAGAACAACTTAATGCTTGGTGTTCACCTTCTAGAGGAGGAAGGGGCCTGAGAGAACTTCATGCTTCTGTGGCCCATTTCTTTTCTGCACCAAGTGCTTTTCCTCTGCTTCCAGCAGTTGTTTCTTTGCCTAACTTTTAATGGGATCTGCATTTCTAAGAGCAAATAAGATTTTGCTCTGTTGGAATAATAAGATGTTGCTCTGTTCGTGTTATTATGGCTGCCATGTTTTCATTTCCATTAGGTTAAAACAGAATTTTCAGTAAATATGTACTATCTTCTGTACTCTGTGGTAGTGCTCTATAATAAAGATATAATATAAGCCACATAATAGAATTTAAAATATTCCAGCAGCCACATTAAAAGAAGTAATAGATTTAGATAGTAAAAACAGATAGATTTAGCATTTTGTTACATTAAGTTAGAAATATTGTTATAACATGTAATTAAAATGAAAAATCATTGAGCTATTTTACTTCTTTATTTCATATGAAGTCTTTGAGATCCAATCTGTCTTTCATGCTTACAGCCTGTCTCAATTCATGTCACTATTCCAGGTGCATGGTAGCCCCCTTTGGCTAACTAAATGGCTACCCTATTGTATAGTGAGTGTAGGGCTATAGATTCAGAATGAATCCTTAATACTTGGATGAATGAAGCTATAAAAGAAGATATTACTCTAATGAATTTGATTTGGATAGGATTATAACTAGTCACTCCAATTAAGTGGTCATCTTTATATATTGCAAAACTGAGCTTATTTTTTTACTGGCTCATTTTAACTGGAGGAGACATGCAGGCTAGATGGAACCTGGACAGTTTGGTTGCACTTAATAATTACATTGTGTAACTGCATTGTTTTTACAGTGTATGCATGTTCATGCTTCCATGACATTTCATTGTGTATCTGTAACCTTTAGCATAAATGCAGTTCCAACTACAACGAAGATTTTGTGCTGCAGCTAGAGAAGGAGCTGGTCCAGGCCCGACTGAGTGAGGCCGAGTCCCAGTGTGCCCTGAAGGAGATGCAAGATAAAGTCCTGGACATAGAGAAGGTAAGAGACTGCATAAATGCCCTCCCTCCTGGATTGGAGAGAGTGATAGACATTCTAAAAGTACTTGATGTATTTGCCTATTAGAAAATTTACATGTTAGTTGTTAAAAGAAGAAAAAATAAAATACTTTTAAGATTTCCAGTTATTCTTGATTGCTTCCCATACTAAGGAAAGCCCCATGTTGAAGGATTAAGATGGAGATTAAATCCTCTTTAGAGGAAAACAATTAGAATCTTTTTTTTTTTTTAAAGATTTATTTTTATTATTATTTTTTCATTGGAAAGGCGGATATACAGAGAGGAGAGACAGAGAGGAAGATCTTCCGTCCGATGATTCACTCCCCAAGTGAGCGTAACGGGCCGATACTATGCCGATCCGAAGCCAGGAGCCTCTTCCGGGTCTCCCACACGGGTGCAGGTTCCCAAAGCTTTGGGCCGTCCTCGACTGCTCTCCCAGGCCACAGGCAGGGAGCTGGAAGGGAAGCGGAGCTGCCAGGATTAGAACCGGCGCCCATATGGGATCCCGGGCGTGCAAGGCGAGGACCTTTAACCACTTGCGCCACCGCGCCGGGCCCCGCTGAATCATTTTATAAGAATATTTAGATGTTTAAGAAGAGCATCTTAACTGTCTTGAAATGTCATAATATCTTGTAGAAGAGGTAGGATAGAACTAGGGTGTAGATGTTTCTGGGAGTTTCCCGTCTGAGTGTAATTGTTACAACTGTTCAAACTGGAAGAAGTCACCTCAGAATGTGAGCCCCCTTTTGCCTGAGGTATACTCAATCTTCAGACTCTAAGTTACCTCTTTTAAAGGATGCTAAAGAATGTCAGGGATAGGATAAGAAGTAGAAGAAGAGAAACTTTTAGGTTTTCTCTAACTTTGAGATTTAGAGTCTGTGTTCTAGATGATAAACTCATTCCCTTTTTGTCAATTCCTGAGCTGTCTGCTCTTTTTATTTCTCTATCCCTAAGTACTAATCAAAAAGACATGAAACAATGGGTATAACACTCTTGTGTGATTTTTTTTTTTTAAGATTTACTTGTTTGAAAGGCAGAGTTAAAGGGAGAGAGTCTTTTACTTGCTGGCTCACTTTCCAAGTGGCTGAAAAACCAGGAGCCAGGAGCTCCATTCATCTCTCCCACATGGGCACAGGATCCCAAGTACTTGGACCATATTCTGCTTTCCCAGGCGCATTAACAGGGAGCTGGATCAGAAGTCCAGCAGCTAGGATTTGAACTGGTACCCATGTGGAATGCTGCAACACAGGAAGAGGCTTTACCAGCTATACCATAACGCCAGTCCCCTCTTAACCGCTTTCCTAATGAAGTGGAACAAATTAACTTTAATTAGTAGTGGAATATTTTTCTTATATTCACATTATTTTTATTATTTCTACACAATGTGTTTTTTTTATTTATTGGTGGGCAGAAAGATACCTGTATTGCCATGTGTACTGTAGCATCAGTCACAATAACCAATACATCAGATCAACCCAGGTGTTGGTGGGTAGATGAATGGATTGTGTGTGTGTGTTGTTACGTGTATAGTGGAATATTATTGAGCCATAAAAGTAATGAAATTCCATGTCAGCAAAATGGGTGGACTGGAAATTACTGTTGATTGAGATGCATCAGATATAGAAAGGTAAATAGAAACTACAGGCTCTCTCTTACATTTGGTGGTTTTAAAAAAAGTCATTTCTCATTTCTTCAAGAATGGGAAATGTGAAAGGATAGAGAGGGACTGGATAACAGGTATCAAAAAGCTGTTAGGTAGAAGTCATAGATTCTAGTGTTGCACATACAGTGGGGTGACTATTGATCACAAAAAATGCATTATGTGCTATATAAAAAGTGGAGGAGAGGGCTCACAGACTCCATTGATAGAAGAAAAGTAGGGATGTGAGGGTAGGAGTTGCCCAATTTGATCAATGGCTGTGATATGCACATGTTGAAATATTACTTTGTACCCTGTAAAACTGTACAACTACAGTGTGTTATTCAACAGTTATTAAGAATAAGAATTTTGGAGACCAGCATTGTGGTGTACACGGTAAAACTGCCTTTAATACCAGTATCCCAGTTCAAGTCCCAGCTGCTCCATTTGTGATCCAGCTTCCCGCTAATACACCTGGAGAAACAACGGTAGCTGGCTCCAGTGCTTGGGCCCTTGCCTCTCATGGGGAAGACTTGGGTAGTTTTTGGTTTCTGATTTTAGACTAGCCATGTTAGAGCCATTTGGGGAGTGAACTAGCAGAAGATTTTGAAGATAGTAAGTGAATTAAGGTAGTCATTTAAAAAAATCAACATTGTATGATTCATTTATGCTAAATGGGCAGAAAGGCAGATCCATGTAGGAAAGAGTTAGATTAGTGGCAACCAGGGGATCAGGGAACGTGGAATGTAGCAAGACTACTGTAGAGTGTAGGCTTTATTTTACGAGTGATAAAGATACCCTCAAATTAGATCATGGTCATTAAACCCTATGAGTACTCTTGAAAAATACTTGCAAACTTTGAGAGGGTCAGTTTATTTCAGTAAACTATATAAAGCTAAATACATTGGTGTAGGAACAAAATGACTATTTTGTGTGTTTTATTTCATTTTATTCTGTTCCATAAATGTAAAACTCCTAAATTAAATCTTCTCTTGCTTTAGAGGAACAACTCTCTTCCTGATGAAAATAACATTGCAAGGCTTCAGGAAGAACTCATTGCTGTGAAACTGAGAGAAGCAGAAGCTGTTATGGGTTTGAAAGAACTCAGACAGCAGGTCAAGGATTTAGAGGAACACTGGCAGGTATGTCAGTACGGGATGTATGCCTTTTGCAAACAGAGTGAAAACCAGCTATTCCATTTGTGGGAGTTTGAAGGCAGCCGATACCCATCAGTAGGAGAGAGTTCCATGGAGAAAGTTTATAAATTGGATGTACATATAAGCTATTGCTCCATTCTTAATTTGTGTAATCTGAAAAAGATAAAATAATAACCCTTTTATATTTTACATGAAGATAAAACAGAAATTATGCTATTATTTACACCGTTCTGTGTTACATAACTTTTTGTTTAAAAAATTGTAAGAAAAATACTCCTTTTACATCTGGGTTTGTATCCCAGGTCTGCTGTTACTAGCTGTGTGACCTTCTTGAAGTTATGTAACCATCATATTCACTTTTTAACCTATAAAGCAAAGGTAATAATGCGTAACTGTCATGATTTTCTGGGGATTAAACAAAATAGAGTTTTGATATAGTGCCACCCATGAAATAAGTGTTAAGTACAACCAGCTCCTGTTCTGATACTGAGTTATTTGTTGAAAAATATTTTTTCTGCTTTAGCGCCATTTAGCTCGTACTACTGGGAGATGGAAAGACCCACCTAAGAAAAATGCTGTGAATGAGTTACAAGATGAACTAATGACCATTAGACTTCGGGAAGCTGAAACACAAGCAGAAATACGAGAAATAAAACAAAGAATGATGGAAATGGAAACACAGGTATGATGAGAAAGTCTAATAAGTTTAAGTTTCTACACAGATTGTACTATGTGTAGAATAAAGATAAAAGATAACCATATTAAACTGTCTAGACTGAAATTTTCCAGCCTAAATAAGAAGCCTAAAAATTGTCTTGTTTGATTTCAGAGGTTTAATGTCTGCTTTAAGTTAAATTCTGTTTGACTTTATTAGGTAACACTCATGGGGTTTCCTTATTGCACAGCTTGAGAGGAAAAGTCTGACCATAAGTTATGCAGCTGGCCTGTTCCTTGTAGAAAGTTGTGACAACGTCCTTGCCCTCTACCCTAGAAGCTCACCTCTCTCCTATGTCCCACCATCTCAACCAAACAGTGCCTCCAGTTAGTGCCAGATGTCCTCTGGGGGACGAAATTGCACCTGTTGAGAACCACAGATGTGACCTGTAACATGAATGTTGCTTCCTGCAGTTCATTCTAGAATAACTTTGAAGAAATCATCCTATTCTGCAATAAATTCTACCTTAAATATGCTTGAGATCTGCAAAGACATTTTCATAAAACCCATTCCCATTTGCGTTGTGGAAGTACATTTGTTTTCCAGATAGCACGTGTACGGGGGCCACGTTCTGCAGTTTCTTATCCGCAGTATCCTAGAGGATTGGTTCCATGTATCCCGAGATACAGCAAAATCTGCTGGTGCTCAAGTTCCTTGTATAAAATTGCAGAGTATTTGTAGATGAACAACATATATTCTCCCATAAACTTCAGATCTCTAAATCTCTTATAATGCCTTGTTTAATATAAATCCTGTATAAATAGTTGTTATACTGTATTGTTAAGGAAAAAAGCTCCGTATTCAGCACAGATGTAGTAGTTTTTCCTGCAAAGATGTTCAATTTGCAGATTTTTGAAATCTGTCCTGTGATGTTATTCCATTATCAAAATAGTCAGTAGGGGGCAGAGTTGACTCATGTGCCGCTCTGTATGTGTTAGAGTTGCCAAAGCACCCATCCCACCTGAAATGTGATGAGTGCACAGTTAGAATACATGTCTTGAAGAACTCAGCCGTTTTCTAAACTTCCAGATATCAAAGTAGATTTTGATACGTAATGACACTGCCTCTGTTTCTACAACCATTTCACCTGGACTGTAATCAGTCCTTTGAATGTGTCCCTAAATGTTATTGAAAAACATGAAAGTACATGTTCTTTGAAGGAGGAAAAAAAATAAATTTTGAATTGAATGTTTAGGCACCCTATTATAGATTTTCTTCTTCCACACTACTGAGTGCCTTGATCTCAGCTGTAAGTGTTTGAAAAGGATGTATTGTCGTACATCAAACTTCCACTTACAGAGGAAGAGGAGATGGAAGAGGTAGAAGCTAAGTCTAGTTCATATGTCTATGAATCAGTAGTGACTAATGTAATGTCCCATGTTGATTTGGTTGTTTTGATATGTGATAAAAATTATCGTTGAAGTCAAACAGTACTTGCTAACTGGAAGATCATGGTATATTTACATCATATTTTTTAGGACATATTTTTTTACTGTGAGCTGAATCAAAATTTTACTATAGATTATTTCCATTTGGGTTCTAACAAAAAGCATCTGTAGAGAATCTATGCAACATATAATTTGTCCAGATTAGTTTTCACTTGGGGAAAGAAGTTCTGAAATGCATCTCAAAGGCAATTGCTCCTCAATTGAAACTCTCCAAAAAGAGAACTATTGGGAAAATGATGTGTGGTGGTAGAAAAAGAAAAGCTCCCTCAGTTTTTGGAGGGGATAACTTAAAAAAAATCTAATGGCTAAGTTTACTTGGTGCAGAAGAGATTAAATCTGTCAATTTTAACACTGCTGTTACATCTGAAATAAACTTATGTGATGTTCTGGTAGTCAAAAAGAAAAAGAATAAACATGTCTTGTTTTACATTGTTCAAGGTTACTTTCTATCTTTGTGATATAATTAAAATAGTGCTGAAAAGTCTTGAAAGTAGAAATGTAAGTCTTACAGTGGGAAGGAAGCTTTATTTTGGTGATCAGAATTTATCTGTAGTTAAGAAAAATGCAAATACAGCTTCCAGGCCAGTGTTAAGGATTTGTCTCATCATGAGTGTAGGTGACTTAATCAGATTCAACCAACATGATTTTGTGAACTTCCAGCAGGATAAGCATTGTCCCAGCTGTTGAAGGACTTAGATTTGAGAAATCAGGTGTGCTAAAGTCTGGGAAGTAGAGAGTTAGATAGAAGTCACTGTGGAGAGTAAAAAGGGAAATTAGTTCCAGCTAGATGACTTGGGGAAGGATTCCTCAGCAATGTGCATTTTGAGCAACGCCAGATGATTTACACTGTTGCTTGAAGGCCATTGTGTAAAGCACCAGTGTCAAGTCGCCAGCCCTCAGAATGGTCATGGAAATGGGAAGAATAAACACTGATGATTGTTTTATAAAATATTTCTTCCCCTGCTGTCGTCTTTTGGGGTTCTGGTCACACATATCTTAGGTTACATAATGCTGCCTAACAACCCTTTGGTGCTCTTTTATCCCCCAGTCCTTTTGTTTGTTTTTGTTTTTACTGTTTGCTTTCCCAGCTTGTCTTGACTGTAGCATTTTTCCTGACATTGTTAAGTTCACAGAATTCCCCCTCTCCACTTGTTCAAGTGCTCCAGTAAACCACTGAAGCATTATCATCTCCTCGTGTGTAGGTTTCCCATTTCTGCCAGGATTACCTGTCTGATCTTCCTTTCCACCTTTCCTTTCTTGCCTTTGGCCTGCTAGTCATGGTTACATTTAATTCAGATAATTTCAATATCTGTGTCTTGTGTAAGACTGGTTTTGTTGATTGTTTTATCTCTTGGTCATGTTGTCTTCTTTTTTCTGCACTCTGTAATGTTTTTGTTGTTGAGTCTGTGTAGGACAGTGGAGTGGAGGGATTATAAGCTTTATGTCATGAAATGGGCACACCTTTCCTTCTGCTAAGCCTTTAATGTGGGAGACTTGAGTTAACACACGGAGGAGATAGGCAGGGTTTGAGGTTTGTTGTTTCTGTGGTTCTCCACGGCACACCATAGGCTTCAAAGTCCTTTAGCCATGCCCTATTTTTAGAGTGGGACTGGTGTGTCAGAATGTTTCTGTTATTATCTTTAGGGCATCCCTCTGTACAACACCTCACAAAGATTCTGTCTCCAGCAGCATTCAGAGAAGAAGGGCCGGGAGTGTTACCTGTTGTTCTAATGAAGGGTTTGTCTTAGGCAGCAATGTGACCTTGGACTGGTGTGTTTGGTGTTTTAGTGTGTCTCCCCACCCACACATGTCCTAAGTCCAAGACATGATCTTCCTGGCGTGTGGCGCAGTGTTGACAGTGCCACTTAGGACACCCACGTCCTGTATCAGAATACGTGGGTTCCAGTCCCACTTCTACTCTCCATTCCAGCACAGGCACCCTGTGGGACAGCAGGGTCTGGCTTAAGGACTTGGGTCCCTACCACTCATTTTTACGAGACCTGGATTAAGTTCCTGGCTCCTGCCTGTAGGAGCTATTTGGGCATTTGGGGGAAAAAACCACTCAACAGGAAATCTTTCATTTTCTCTGCTTTTCAAATAAATTTTTTTTAAATTGGGAATAAAAATGGGCATTGTGGTACAGAAAGTTAAGCTGCCACTTATGATGCCTTCACCACATATTGCAGTGCTTGGGATTAAGTCCTGCCTCCACTTCTGACCCAGCTTCCTGCCATGGTGCTTGGGGAGGCAGCAGCCTGTGTCCTTGTGTTCCTGCCACCTGTGCCGGAGACCTGAGGAGTTCTTGGTTCTTGGCTTTGGGCTGGCCCAGTCCTACTGTTGTAGGTATTTTGGGTGTGATCCAGCAGAGACAGGATTTTTCTCTCTCTGTTTAATTCTATCACTGTGCCTTCCAGAATAAATAAAAATGAATAGTATGCATTTATAGAAAAACAAATTGGGTGTTTGGCAAAGCAGCTAAATTGTTGCTTAGAATGCCCACATTGCATTTCAGAATATCTGCTTCAAGCCCTGACTCCCTGACATGCTCAGCAGGAGATACCACAGGATGGCTCAAGTGCATGCATGCGTCCCTGCCACTCTGCCAGCCATGGGAGATGCGGGTTTAATTCTGAGCTCCTGTCTTCAGCCTGGTCCAGTCTTACCTGTTGTGGACATTTGGGAAGAATCTCTGTCAATCTCTATTTCTCCATCTCCCAGCCTTTGAAATAAATGGAGGGTGGGAAAGAGAGAGAGAGATGAGCTATTTCTCCCAGTTCACCCAGACTGGGGACTCTGTCCACTGCGCCAAGGACAGCAGTGTTGGTCCCCCTTCATACAGATGAGAGCTTTAGTTTCCTGGGGAAGGAAGCAGAGTGTTCCTCTTGAAGCATCATGAAGGTCTTTTTCAGGCCTCTTGGCACTCTCTGCTGCGTATACCTGTTGGAGTATGCAAAGAAAAAAACAAAACAGGCTGGATTTTGTGAGCTTCTCTTGGTCTGCTGCCTGTGGGCGCCACACACTCTCATCAACCAACACTCGGCTTCCAGCAGTCTTAATATTTATTCTCACTGGGTAGTTCTTGATGACTGGTGTCTGCTTCTAATCTGCTTCAGTTCAGAAAATATTTAAACCCCATCCCATCTCTCCTTGGGGCTCCAAGGTTTGAAAGAAACTTTGGCTGTCTCTCTCTCTCTTTTTTTTTTTTTAAACTAAAAAGAGTGATAGCCTGGCTCTAAATCTGTATTTGTCATGATAGAAATCAAAAGGAATTCATAATGATGTATTGGAATTCTATTATTTTTTCATTACTTCTTCTTGGTTTTCTCTTTTCCTTTCCTGCATTTTTATTGGGTTTATTTAGCTTTTTTTTTCTACCTTCTCTGTATTTTTTTAAACTAATTCCTTTTATTTCCCATTAGTGTTTATTGCATGAAGACATCTAAATGCTTACCTGACTGAACAGAATCTGAAGTTGTTATCTGAATGCCTGCTTCAGTCTTCCAGGTTGTTGCTGGACAG